AGAGCAGTGACCGCATCTGTTGTGTTCCTCTGAGACCCCAGCCCCAGCTCCTAGCTCAGAGCTTGGCACAAATGTAGGTGCCCACACACACACACACACACACACCATGGCAGGTGTGAGGAATATCCATGGCAGGGGTGAGAAAATGAAGGACTGAGTATGGTGGGGGAAAAAGAGTGAGTGGGGAGACGTCTCTGGTGGTGAAGGTCCCTGGTCCAGTTCTCCACTGGGCCCACCTCTGCCCGCTGCACAGGCACCGCGATTGCCATGCGAAAGCCAGGGGTGCTTCTGTCTCCTTCCTCCTGGGGCGTGAGCTTCTGAGACTTGTCCATGTGGGACTCTCGGACACCAGCTGCTCTTGCCCTCGGGCCCCTCGGACCCTGGGGGCTCCGTCCAATGCCAGTCCTCTTGCAACTCCAGGTGGGGGGCCGTGCCCTTCAGAGGCCCCCCAGGCCCACCATCTTGGTCCTTAGTGGGGGGGTCCGGTTGAGGTGAGGTCACTGTGTGGTAGGGGATGCCCCACAAGGGTTAAGTTGCCAGAAGCAGAGTCCCGCCCTCGGGCTTGCTCAGCCAATCAGAGTCTGTCCTGATGAGGTAAAGCTTCTCTCCAGGGTGGCATTGGCGGAGGTGGACAGCCCCATCTCCTGCTGGAGAGAGCCGTAAGGGTGGAGTTTCTGTGGAACCAGACAGAACTGGAATTAGCTCGCTGTGCACTTGGGGCCCTGCCCCTGCTCCTTCCTTCATTTCCTAGTAGGGGGGCTCACGCAGGGTCTGGCCTCTCCGGGACCAGGTGGCCAGAGCCTCGGCATCGCGGGGCAGGCCTGGGGGGCCTGGGCAAGGGAGGTCCCTGCGTGGGTCCGGGGACGAGGCTGGTGGCTAGCAGGAAGTGACCGGAGAAGCCACTGCCATGTGTGGCCAGGGTGGCCGCCGGCAGCTGCGTGCCCAGGCGGGTGATTACGGGTGGATCTTCCTGCGGAGACTTTACGTGGCGCCAGCAAAAGCACCCTGTGGGCTCTTCTTCCAAGATCCGGCTCTGCAGGGTGCCTCAAGAGTTCAAGGCTCCCCGGGACCCTGGGTGCGAGGGCTAGCGAAGCAGAAGCCACTCCCCGAGCTGTGTGTTATTGTGGTTTTTCACCTGCCGGCCTCTGTCTCCGCCGGGGACAGCGTGGGTACAGTCCCCTCTGTGCGTCCCCAACGGAATCCCAGGGCGAGCCTGAGAATGGAGAGCACATGGTGGGCCGGCCCCCTGCAGAAGCCACCCATCCTCGTAGTCTGCCCTGCACTGGGTACTGGAAAGGGCTGTGGGGGGTGGCACTGAGCACTGGGACCCTGGAGCATGGCTCTTAGAAACTGCCTGCATGGCCCCTGCTGCCAAGCGGCCAAGGTCCCATCTGTTCCATTAACGGAGAATTCCACAGGGACCAGGGCTCCGCCTACCCCCCTTGCAGTGACCCCAAAGCACCTTGGCTGGTGTCAGATAAAGCAGACGAGTCCCACGTATCTTTGATCACGCAAACCCAACAGGACACCTGTCCCCTCAGCTTAGAACTCAAAGCCACAGGTAGGACCACCTGCAGGGCCTTCCAGCCGAGAAGCAGCAGTGCACGAAAGGGGTTGGTCAAAGTCGGGGGGGGGGGGGCAGAAGGAAGGTCGGGGTGCCCGAGAGACAGGGTTCAGGCGGGGAGAGGGGGAGGAAGCAGGGAGCTAGAGTGGGTCCTGATGTCCACAGAGAGGGGTCCGCACAGCCACAGCAGTGTAGGAACATGGCCAGAGGCTGGCCGGCCACAGAGCCCCAGACAGGGCACACAGCCTCCTGGGGTGTCCCCGGGCACAGCTGAGACACCCCCCTCCATGGTCACTTGTAGGCCACGGGCTCCTCAGAGGCAGCGTCTGAGCCTGGTTGGCCCTGCTCCATCCACACAAGGGGGACAGCCCAGCCCCCAGAGGAAGCCCATGTCACAGATCCTCGAGGGACATGGAACGCTCAGGGTGAGGACGGGCAGAACCAGGCGCTCTGCTTGTAGGGCTTCTGGTGTGTGGGGGGGTCACAAAGAGCCCCCCCCCCGAGCATTGTGCAGTGGGGTCGTTGAGGCGCTTCCCAAGGCCATGCCACATCAGGGGCCCCGTCTCTCCAGGGTTTGTTTTTGTGGGGGCCAGGATTGAATCACACCCAGAAGTGCTCAGGGTTGACTCCTGTTCTGTGCTCAGGAATGCAGCAGCGCTGAGGTGTGGACCATGTGCAAGGCAAGCACCTGACCACCTGTGCTATCTCTCTGGCCCATTCTCTGTCTCTTAAAACCTCTCGTCCTTCTCAGCAAGCTTCTCCTTTCAGGAACCCCCCAATGCGGGGGGCCCCGCCAGACCACTCTCTGGCCCGCGGAGATGGCCCTAGGATCCGTAGGTGCAGGGAAGGACTGACCGAATAAACACAAGACACAAGAGACATGATGTAGAGAAAACAGGACAGAGCAGACAGGACAGCAGACAGGGTAGGATAGGACAGAACAGAACAGAATTTTATTCAGGGCAGCAGGGGCTTAAATACCCATCAGTACAGGAAAAGCACAATGCAGTTACACAAAAAGGGTCGTGCCCATATGTGGTTAGGAAAGTTACAGAGTCTATAAGTTTGACATACCATGCATTACAAAGTTTATACCAAGTTAATCATTGTCAGTTACAGCCATGACAGATGTTTTCTCAGGATAACCATACAAAGCACAGGCTTTACCTGCTGAGGGTCACGTAGGTCAGGATAGCCATACCTAGCACAGGCACGTAGGCCCTTGGTCAGTTAAAGGGCCAGCTTCCCACACCCCAACACCCCTGTCCCCATACAGTCTTACAAAGCTAGGCCTCCTTCTTTTTTTTTTTCCTTTTTGGGTCACACCCGGAAATCAATGCACAGGGGTTACTCCTGGCTCATGCACTCAGGAATTACTCCTGGCGGTGCTCGGGGGACCTTATAGGATGCTGGGAATCGAACCCGGGTCAGCCGCATGCAAGGCAAATGTCCTACCCACTGTGTTATCACTCCAGTCCCCAGAGATGGGCCTCCCTGAAGAAACCTTATTCCAAGGAATCAGACTAGTGGGGGAAGGAATCCAGGAGAAGAACAGTGGGTCGAGGGGCCTGGCCATCAGAGTGGCCTGGGCAAGGGTCTCACAGAGCATCACAGAGAGGACAGTGAGAAGCCAAGAATAGAGGCAGCAGGCCATGCCAGCAAGCAGTACTAGAGGGGCTGAAAACACCAGAGGCCACATCTGCGCTCTGTCCCGGGGGAAACTGAGGCCCAGCTGGTGAGGGGAAGGAGGTGCATATGCCCCTCAGAGGCATATGCCATGCCTGGGGGGAAGCTGACCTGGAGGTTGCTAAAGCCTTCTTGGAAGGGGGGGGGGGGTCAGGGGGGGCAGAGGGGGCCACCACTATCTCACTGTCTCAGGGTGCATTCTGTAAGTGACTAGGACTAAGTGGCCAAGATCCTCTAGGTGTGTATATGAGGAGAGGGAATGGGGGGTGGGGGGATATGGTTAAGCCCTGAGACCCTACTCCAAGGATCCTGCACTTTGCCCCTCTAGGAGGGTGGAGCGTTCTCAGGAGAGGGGAGGGGGTTAAGTCAGAGCAGAAACCTCCCTTCTTCACTCGGTTTCTTTATTCAAGCCTGGCTTTGAGGGTTTGGGCTGTAAAAGGCTTGTATGGGCTCTGTCCAGGTGCCACACATCTGGGTGACCCCAAGCCCTGGCCCCACACCCTGAGACCCAGCTGGGTGGCCGCAGAGCCCCCCACCAAGGAAGGAGGAGACACTTATTCGCCAAGGCATGAGGAAGCTATTCCCACATGTAAAAGACTTCTCTCTCTCTCTCTCTCTCTCTCTCTCTCTCTCTCTCTCTCTCTCTCTCTCTTTCTCTCTCCATGATTCCCCCAATTCGACAAGGCTGAGAGACCCAAGTTCAGCCATGGGGACCACCCAGGACGGAGATGACCAGGTCTCAGAGTGGGGCCCAGTCGGGGCCTAAGGGGCAAGGGGCCGCCCTCCATCTTCTGGGGGTCTCGGCCTGGATGCCCACCCGTAAGTGGGGGCAGCACAGTCCCCTCACACGGCCAGCGGAAACTGAGCCCCTGCTCTATACCAGGCCCCACGTCAACTTCATTAGCGCCGTGGCAGCCTGGAAGGGAAGAAACTGTGCCCATAGGTGGGACAGCCCCAGCACCAACAAGTAGGGGCGCCCACTGCAGGTCCATGGCCCCCTTCCACAGCAGACAGGGATTTGGGGCCCCCTCCATCAGTGCTGCCCTGTCCCAGACTGGTATATAAAGACCCTTCGGTGTAAAAAGCCTCAGAACTGCCTGTCCCACTCCCAGCCCTCCGAGGACCTTTCCCCTGGCAGGAAGCTGAGCTTAGTGAGCTCTGACCTCTGACCTCTTGCTCCCTCTCATTCTCTCTCTCCACCACCTCCTGCCGCCGCCAACTGGACCAAACCCCCAGATGGCCAGGCCACACCACTGGCCAGAGCAAAAGGGGGACACATGGATGGGTGCCTGGGCACTGCCACTGTACTCCAGCTCCTGATACATCACCCCTGTACCACCCCTGGGCACTGGGTCAGCTGGTGGTGGTGAGGGGGGCAGTCCCCAATCAGTCACAGCCGGGAGACGCCTCCCAATTCTCCCAGTCACTGGACTCCAACATCCCAGCCAACTTGGCCCCATCTGGCTGTGAGATTTGCATCGACTCTAGCACCTTCTGCTAGGCCTGCCAAAGACGGAGGCCAGGACCGGAGGGGCCTGCACGATTTGGCCCTGCCAAGCCCCCGACCCCTGCGCCCACCAGCACCAATGAACCCGACTCAACAGACCCAGTGCCGCGCCAGACCAGCCAAAAGAGCTCAGCGGCCAGTTCCAAGTTCTCCGCACAGGTTGGTCCCGTGTTGCAGTCAGAGGCTGGGGAGGGGTGGGGGGAGCCAGGTCGCGAGGGCTGCGGCCGCTGGCCAGACCCTTACCTTGCTCTGCAGGGGCGCGGCCAGCTGTTGCTGCTTGGCGATGTTCTCTGCCAGGCACCAGCACACCCTCTTCTTCTGCTCCCGTGAGTGCGCCTCCAACGTGAATAAGCACTCCGCCTTCTGACGTCAGGGCAGAGGGAGAGAGGCCGGTCAGCGCTGTGCCCTGCTCTGGGGGCTCCCGGGTCCCAGCCCATCACGGCACTCTCGAGGGGGTGCACGAGGGTGAGGCTGTCACCCGCCACCGCTGCTGCTGCCACCGCCCCCGGGAGGGGAGGGTCCACTAAAAGCCACAAATGCATGCTAATCCCTGGTGGCATCGAGGCAGCTGGAGGGGCGGGAAAGCCGGCCCGGGGGACCAGATGGCCAGCCGAGCTCCGTGTCCAGGGCTGGCGGGGAGGTGAGCAGGGCAGAGAGCCCCGGGATAGGAAAGATGAGGTCACCTCCAAGAAGGCAGCACAGAGCTGCAGTTGGGGTGGGGTGGGGGGGTACGGGGAACCCGAGGGCCTGGGTCTCTGGCCGCCTCTGATGTTTTGCACAGCCAACCCCCCCCCCCCCCCCACCCCAGACACACACACACACACACCACTACCGTGCTGCATCTGACCACAAGGCCACGGTCAGATGCGGGGTTGGAGGGACCCTCCTATGGGAGGGACCTACAAGCAACTCAAGACCCTTTGCCAGGCCTTTGGTGGGAAGTCCTGCTGCTCTCGCCAGCCAGACTGACCAAGTCCCCTTTGCGTCTGCTCTCGTGCCAATCCTTTATTTGTGGCAGGAAGTGTGGTCTCTCAGAAGGTGCTGGGGAAGACTAGGCCCCCAGCCGGCGATTCTCAGCCAGCTAGGCAGGATGTTCAGTGCATGGGCCTGGGACACAATGTGAATCTCCAGCACCCCGCCACCCCCCCCACCCCACCAGCTGTGCTTGTGGCCACCCCTGGCAGCGCTGGGGCAGGGGTGGGGTGGGGTGGGGTGGGGAGGGTGGGCCTCCAGAGCCACAGCTGGTGGTGCTCAGGGAGACCACGTGGCACCAAGAACCAAACCCAGGTTTGGCACCAGCTAGGCATGCACCCTAACCACTGCACTACCTCCCGCCCCCTCTGGTTCAGTTTCAGTGACACGTCATCCTTGTTGGGGACTGCCGTCTCTCTGGACTCGCCACCTCAGCTAGAAACTTCTAGAAACGCCTTTCTCATTGGCACCCCAAGCTGAGCTCAGCCAGCAGTGGCCTGGCTAAGCCAGGGCTCCCTGGAGGGAATAGGGGGGCGGGGGAATGTGGTCAAATCCAAGCGCAGATCACCAGGAGCTGCAGGCACCCAAGGAGACACCCTAGAGCAACCAGAGGTACAGGCACAGTGGGGAAGGGGTGCCAAACAGATGCCCTATGCTGGCCAGCATCCACCTCCTGGACTCAGCCACTGGGGCCTGCGAGTGCCTCCCGATTCTGCTGGAATCTGATCCTGTCCCCCAGAGCTGCAACAGGATGAACTCAGCCCAGGGCGGTGGGGGCGGTGGGAGGGGGTGTCAGGAGCAGACGCCAGAGGGCTGGGACCTGGAGGAAGACCACGGATCCCGCCAGGCCGCCCTCATCCAGCGCTGGGGCAGGCCTGGTCAGCATCCCAGCTGTGAGCCTTCCCAGCCGCTGACCTTGGGAGATGGGTCAAACAGGAGGGCAGGCATAGCCGTGGCCCCTCGGGGCAAAGGAGGCCTAGCCGGGCTCCCCAGGAGGCTGCTGCCCTTACCAAGGGTTCCAGCTAGATGCCAGGGGCCCCGTGCTGGGTCCCAGGGGTGGGAGAAGTCAGAGAGACCCGAGCTCCTCCTTGGGGCAGGCTTCCCATTCTGTCTTTGTTTGGGGGGGGGGCTTCCCAGGGCTACAGACTTCTCAACGGTCTCCCCAGGCCAGCAAGGGCCTTCGAGCTGTGAAGGCTGAGCCACAGGCAGGCAGCAAGGAAAAGGCTCGGGAGAAATTGTTCCCTGGGGTGCCAGGGTGAAGGTGCCAGCTGTGCTCACCAACTGACGTGAGCCTAGAGACCCCCTGCCCATGGGCGGTGGGGACAGGTAATCCTGCCCAAGCAGGCACCCAAGCCCAGAGAGCTAAGAGCCACCAGGAGGGGATCCCAGCCCCCCGCCCCAAGCACTGCTTGAGTGGTCTGCCAGCCCACCCACCCCAAAGAAATTGCTCCCTGCAGAAGAGCAGATCAAAGGCTTTGGGCTGGGTGAGGGGTGGGTGGGGAGCTGACATCACTTGGGGATATTTTCCACCCCAGGGATCCTTGGGGTGCCACCCCTCTGGGCCCAGCCTACTCCCCTGTGGCATTCCCAGGGTGCCGGCCACTTCTGTTCTGCACGGAATCTTCCAGAAATCATCAGTACAAACATCAGCGGGAGACGGAAGAAGGCCATGCCCAGGCCTAATGGTGTGGGTGTGGGTAGGGGGGATCCTGCAACTCCCACTTAGTACAGGCTTGTCCCCTTCCCAGAACCCCAGCCACCGCGGGGATGGGGACGCCTAGCCGCAGACCTCAGAACTCCCCAGGGGGACCATGCAGGAGCAGGCCTGAGTGCCCTCTGCCCCTGGTCGCTGCCCCTGCCAGGACGGGCTGTGGCACTGATTCAGGCCATCCTTCCGGGGGTGTTGGGTGGGGGCCCCTCGCCCACCTCTACTACAAACCCCTCCTACCCTGGGCCCCCTTCCTGCTGTGAAGCGGTGGGGGGCGGGGAGGGAAGTCTTCCTTTTATGTCATTATCTACTTGGAAAAGCACTTCCCCAGCCACGTCCTGATCCCTCTTGGATCTGTTCATTCTCTCCCCTTCCAAGAAGAGGTGAGAGGGTGGAGGCCGCTTTGCCGTTTTTTATGGAAAAGAAAAGTCACCCTCAGTGAGCCACAGAGAGGGGACTCAAGGGGAGGGTGAGAAAAACCACCTGCACAGACTCCCCCCCCAGACCTGGGAGGTCCCCCCCAGACCTGGGAGGCCCCACCCCCAGACCCTGGGAGGCCCTACCCCCAGACCTGGGCATAGCCTTCCTTGTGGGGGCCATTGGCAGGCCAGCAAAGCCCTAGCACGTCAGAAAAGGAACTGCAGGGACAGCTCAGGGAACTGATGGGCACACCCAGAGTTCGATAGGGAGGGGGCGGGAACATTATGGACCTGGCCCCCAACCCCTACCCCCCACCCCCACCCCACACACACCAAGCAGCACCAGGTATGCTCCTACTGTCCCCGAGCCTTGTTGGCCTTGAGCTGAACTGCAGTGACCCATCTCAGTAAGACCCTCATCATCTGCCCCAAGTCCCCTGAGTGCTGGGCCAGCCTCCTGTCCCCCCCCCCAAAAAAAGGAAAACTCCCACACAGGCAAAACCAAACCAAACCCAGAGAGCCTCAGTGCTGGCTGGCGGGTTACAGGGTTCGGGGAAGCTTTCTGCCCAGCTCTGCCCAGCATGTGCCCCTCGGCCTCCTCAGAAAAGCAGCAGGGGCTCCCCATGCCACATGGGCGGCAGGATCCTGAGACCCCCCCCCCCCATCCCACGGTGTCCTGTGGCTGTTTCCCAGCCCTGGAAAGTTCTGTGTGCAGCTAAGAGGGTCTCTGTCCTCCTGACAGCCACAGGCCGAGCCCTGCCCGCCGTGGCTCACCCTGGGTCCTAGGCTCCGGGAAGTCCTGTTTCTGCATCGGCCTGGCCACAGCATCAGTAGCCCTCAGCAGTTGTGTATAGGGCTGGGGCGTGGCCTCCCGTGGTCGGGCGTGTGTAGGAGGGCACCGCAGGGCCCCAGGAGTTAAGCCCGGGCTGGGCCAGTGCACAGGGACTGCTGTCTGAGATGGGTCAACACCTGGGGAGATCTTTGCTCCCCAAACTCTCTCAAGAGGAGTTTCACAGGCTGGATCAGCAAGGGGGAGAGAGAGAGAAACAAGAGAGAGAGAGAGAGAGACAGAGAGAGACAGAGGATGAGAGAAAGAGGGAGAGGGAGGAGAGGAGAGAGAAGGAGATAAAGGGAGAGAGAGGGGGAGAGAGAAGAGAGAGTAGGGAGAAGGAGAGAAGGAGAGAGAGCCAGTGCCCACCTGGGCAGTGGACAGGCCATCTGCCTCCATCTGCCTGGATCAGTGCTTCCCCCTCGAGTCCCCCAGCACCCCCCACCCAACCCCACGCCTTCCCCTATTTCACTGGCCCTGCCTGTGAACCATCTCTCCTCATCCACTTGGGACCCAATGGAACCACTTTAGCGCTGGGCCCAGCGCTGGTGCCCTCCAGGCCGGATACCCAGACCGAGTGGGCCGGTCGCCCCACAGGGTGCCCTGCTGTGCTCTGGTCAGCTCCCTGGCTCGGCTTGGCCGGGCACACAGCACCCCCGCCCCCAGGTGCCCCAGCACAGACCTGTGAAACCTGAGCCTCCCGCTCCCCCTGGAAAACCCAGCTCCCCTCCCCGCCCATCCCATCAGGCCCTGCTCCTGAATTAACGTCATCTTTGGAAACACGGGGGTTGGGGATGGGGGGGGGGGCGGGGATAAATGAGACCCGTCTGTTGGGGCTTGGCAAAGGTTTTCCTTGTAACCCAGTTCTCCGGATGTGACTTTGGGGGGTGTAAGGGGGGGAGGAGGAGAGAAGCAGCCACTGCTGTCCCTCCAGATGAGTAAACTCAGACAGAGAGAGAGAGAGAGAGAGAGAGAGAGAGAGAGAGAGAGAGAGAGAGAGAGAGAGATGTAGGGTGGGCGGGCGCTGAGAGTCCAAGCAGGACTCCCCCCGGAACCCGGGTATCTGCTGACGCCCAAGAGCCCTCTTAGCTTTCCCTCCGGGGGATCGATCCCACCAGGGCGCAGTGTCTAATGGAGAGTAAATGACTCTGAAAGCTCTATCGTCTCCCCGCTCCGTCCCCTCCAAACGCCGCCATGAAGCCGGCTCCCAGCTCAGCTGCCCCCCTCAGAGCCCCTGCCAAGCACGAGCCCAGCACTAAGTGTCTGGGCACAGTTCTTGCCGACTTTCACCCATCTCCCCGTGACAACATCCCGGCCAGGGCACTCACAGAGACCAGCAGGGCTGGGCTGGCCACCAAGGGGCCTTGGGGGGTAATCAGACAGGTCAAAGCCAGCTCCGATGCATATCCAGGGCTGACTTTCTCCCCACACCCCCTCCAAAAACACCAAAGAGAAAAGGCAGCTGAGCTAGCTAGAGAAAGGACCACCAAGTAAAGGATGCTTGGAGGACTCGCTCAGGATGGGAGATGTGTGCTGAAAGCAGACTATGGATCGAGCATGATGGCCACTTAGTACCGGTATTGCAAACCATAACACCCAAAAGGAGAGAGAGAGAGAGAGAGAGAGAGAGAGAGAGAGAGAGAGAGAGAGAGAGAGAGAGAGAGAGAAAGAGAGAAAAAAGGAGAGAGAGAGAGAGAGAGAGAGAGAGAGAGAGAGAGAGAGAGAGAGAGAGAGAATGTGCCTGCCACAGAGATGGGGAGGAGGGGTGGCGGGGGGAGGGGGAGGATGGGGGCAGGGTGGTGGTGGTGGATACTGGGATCATTTGGTGGTGGAGAATGGGCACTGGTGGAGGGATGGGTGCTCGATCATTGTATGACTGAAATGTAATCATGAACATCTGTAAGTCTGTAACTGTATCTCACGATGGTTCATAAAAAAAATTAAACAACAACAACAACAACAAAAAGACCCCAAAGCCAGATTCTTAGATTAGTGGCGTTGGCTTCCAAGTCCGAGGAGTCCAGAGTTCCCTTTGCCTGTCTCTCCCTTCCCCCCTGACACCTCAGTTCCCCGAAGCAGCTTCCTTTGGGGTTATGGCTAGTCACCTGGAGGCACTCAGGGTGCTGCTACAGACCAGGCGTGACCCTTGGGCCTGTTCTGGGTCTCTGCCTCCTCGTGTTCCTGGAGGGGACAGCTCCCCAGCCCTTTCCTTGCTGCTGCCCTCATTGCTCAGCCTTCTCTACTGCCCCCTCCGAAGACCCTTCCCAGGCTGGGGTGATTGGCGGCTCTGAAGCCAGTCGTGAGCTGCAGCCTGTTCAGTGGCTTCGCAGGGACTGAGGGGCACCAGGCTGGAAGAACAAAGACTCCGAGGCGTCAAGGACAGTTTAAGACATGCCCATCAGGGCTTCCCTACTGGGGTACATCAGAGTTACTGCCTCCAGGCTGACTGTGTTTTCTGGGTGCTGTGGAACGCCTGCTCGATTCGCCTCTCTGGCCCTGCCCTCTTTTTTTTTTAGGGGGGGGGCACTTGCCTTTGAGGCAACACAGGAAAACTGCTGGCCATGGTCCTGGTGAAGTCATGAGCCTGGGGTCCACAGGGTCCCCTGGCCTCTGAGTTAGGCCTGCCTGAGGCTGGAAAGCCGGCAGGTCCCCGCTGCCCCTCCTCACAGATCCAAGAGACAGACCGTCCACAGGTGGAGCAGACAGCAGATTTTGCCTGTGGGGGGCCTGGGTGTAAGCCCCAGTGCCACATGGTCTCCCTGAACTCCATAAGGGGGAACCCCCAAGCACAGGGCTGGGAGCATGGGAGTAGCCTCTGTGCACCCCAAAACAAACACCAGCCCAAGAGAAAAGAGCAAACTGCGAGAGAAAGCATTGCCTGGCCGTGGGACCCTGCTGCCTCATGAAGCCCCTCGCCCGGCCCCAACAGGAAGAAAAGCCGCAGCCCCCCATTCACCCGCTGGATCAATGGTCCATCGCGCCTCGCAGGGCCAAGCACGTCCCTGCTCCCCGGAAGCCAGCAAGCAGAAGTGCCTGGCGCCAGGAAAAACAAACTCAGCTTGGCAGACAACTGGCCTGGCCTTCAAGGATCTGGAGCAAGATTCCAGACCTAGCTGGTGGGGGGTGGGGGGACACCCAAGGCAGAAGGGGGCCGTGCCCTCCGGCTCCTCCCCACCCGCCTCCCAGATTCTCCTGTGAAAGCCCCAAAGGGCTAGCTACATCCTGTGGCCAGAAGCCATGGACTGATATTAGAAAAGTGGGGAGCGACCCCCACCCCCCCGGGCCTCTGGGCCATTCTGGGCAGCCAGGGTCCCTAGTTCAGCTCTGACCGGGTCATGGCCCTTCAGAACCCTCGACCGTCCCCAGAAGTTCCGTCTCGCCAGCTGTCTTCTCCCTCACGGGGTCTGTCTACCCCAGGAGACTCGGGGGACCACCTGCCCCTCTTCTAGGCAGGAACGGAAGACCGCTTTTCAATTGCAAAGGATAACCCCGGTCCCCCAAGACAGGCCCCAGGATTTTGGGGCGAGAGCGCCTGAAGCAGAAGGCAGGAGTGGGTGTAATGAATGCCTGGGGCAGAGCGCACCCCCGCCCGTCTTAGCAGAGACCCCAGGCTGGGAGCAGTGCATGCACTGAACAAGGAGCAGAAATTAGATGGCTCCATGGAGCTCCACTTTTCATGCCCCAGGACCCCTCCCCCTCCTCCCCCTGCCTCCCCGTCCCCTTGGATGAAACCATTGATTTAATGGTGTTTTATCTACCCAATTGCATCCAGCAATAAGTGGTTTGCCTAATTGCTCAGCGAAGGCAAAGTGCTGTCCATCAGAGCCTCCACTTGAACCGGAACACACGGGGCTGCTCCCTGCTTCAGACACAGACGCCCAGGCTTCCTTGCTTCCTTGAGCACCACTTTCTGGGGCGGGCCCAGAGGACACTAGCACCAGGGGTTCTGGAACAGGGACTAGAATGCTTGAGGGGCTCAGGACTCGGGGGGCGGGGGGGGGGGGGGGGGGGAGGTGTGTTCCTAGAAGATGAGGAGCAAGGAGGCAGGAACCAGAAGCAGGACAGGGAGCCGGGAGCCGGCTTGGCAGATGAAACACATGTTTTGCAAGCGTGGGCTTGTGACTTTGTGATCCCCAATGCTGCCCACAGGAGCCAAGAGCCGTTCTCCATCGCTCTGCTGTTTGGGCCTGCCAGTGCCACTCTCTGAGCATCCCACAAGCAACCTCCAGCTGCAGCACACCCAGGTGTGTGTGGGGGTCCCTCTCCCCCGACAAGGGTGCAATCACACACACACAAAGCAAGCACTACTGCCAGAAAGGCAAGGTGCAAATATTGTAGCCAGGCATGCAACCCTGAGTGGGTGTGTGTATGTGTGTGCGAGTGTGTGTGTGTGTGTGTGTGTGTACGCACACGTCAATGACTTCTGGGAAGCTCGACAACCAGAATGTGCATTACCACTGCCACTCAGGGAGGGCAGACCCCAGCGAGCACCGCGGCTGAGTACATACTTTGCATGACCCTGTCATTGCAATAACCATACCAGCTATGGGAAGGCAGAGTGGGGGGAGGAGGGGTCTAAAAAAATAGGGGTGCACCCTATATGGTTCCCTGAGCCTTGCCAGGAGTCAGCCCCGAGCACAGAACCAGGAGTCAGCCCTGAGCACTGCCAGGTTCTGGCTCCAACATACAACAAACCAATAGATAGAACCTGGGAACTCTCTAGAAAAGAGCTGGCCAAAGAAGAGGGGTAATGTGGGGCTGACAGGCAATGCCCCCACCAGACACACAGCCCCCCTTAGCCCCTCAGGGTGTGTGCATGGCCCACTGTCCTTCTTTAAGAGGGAGAGTCAGGCCTGGCCCCCACCCAAACCCCAGTGAGCTGGTATGGCAGCAGAGCGCAGCCCCAGAGCCTTGTCTCCGCCTGGCCTCTGATGCCCGGCCTTAGGACTCACCTCCGCCAGGTACAGCACACAGAACTTCAGGTCCTCGGAGGAGCCTGGTGGGAACAGAGGGGAGTTAGGGTGAGTCCCCCCCGAGCTGCCTACTCCCGCAGTCCTCCAGCCCAGCCCACAGTACTGCCCCGAGGTGCCTGTGTGTGGGACTTCCTGGAAAAAGAGGAAGAGAAACGTAGGCGCCCAGGCAGGACCACTAATAACTAACCAGGTTGAGTCACTGCCAGCAGGAGATGCCGCCCCAAGGAGCACGGTGGCCTCCCTGTGGGAGGAGGGGGGGTCAGGAGCAGTCTCGAAGCCCCCAGCAGCCCTGTCAGCCTGCCGGGGGGTCTCCCCTTCCCGTGCTCCCTGAACACCTGTCCTCTGGGACCCCGAGGGGACACCCAGAAAACCAGGTTTCTCTTCCTTCCCTGCCCACCGGTTCCAGATTCAACAAGAAGCCACTTAATCCCTGGGTGGGTGGGTGAGAGGGGGCGCAGGGGTTCTGTTTCCCACCAGGGAATGAAGGTAGTGGGGGGTGGGGAGAATCCAAGACCACCTGGCCCAGGTCCACCCTTGGCTGAGTTTCCGCAGTGTCCACTCAGCTCTGGCCTGGAAGCCTCAACTCAGCCACTGCCGGTTTCTGTGCCCAGGATGAGCTATGGAAGCTCAGGGGGCAAAAGGTGACCCCCCCTCCCCCACACCCAGAATCAGAAGTTTGAACCCCCGATGGAGGAAGGGACTCAGGGGGTGGGAGGGGTGTTATTTAGGCAGTGCCCAGGGAGAAAGTCGGAAGCAGCCAGCCCCCTCTTCCAGGACACTCCCTGGACCCCAGAACCTGGCAGCACCTCCCCTCCCGACACCCCTCCCCCTTCCCCCTATCAGGCTGGATCTAACTTTGTGTATTTCCAACAAGCCCCCTGCCCAGGCTGGGGAGAGCAGACAGGCCCCAGGGGTCTGAGCAAATGCTTCAGGGCAGGTAGGAGTCAGAGAGAAAGCACAGTGGGAGGCCGCTTATCCTGCACTCAGCCATCCTGGTTAGATCCTCAGCATCCCATATGGTCCCCTGAGTGAGCCCTGCCAGGAGTAATCACTGAGCACAGAGCCAGGAGCAGGTCCTGAGCACCACTGAGTGTGACCAAACAAATACCCAGACAGGGACCGTGTATAGGAGGGTCAGCAGGACCAGGAGCCGGGCACTGTGCCGGGGAGTCCCAGCCCCTCAGAAGGGGCCACTGGGAAAAAGCAGAGACCCTGGGTGGTGGCTGGGCAGCTTGAGCCAGGGAGGAAGGGGACGCAGCCTGATTCTGTCCCCCAAAACAAGTTCACAGCCTCCGGGGGCTCCTAACCTTCACCCCCACCCCACGCCCACCCCATCAGCCCTCGGGCTCCTCGAGGAAGCCGGCCCCAGGGAGGTCCCCCAATACACCGCTGCCCCCAAGAAGGTGTCAGAGAATCCAGAACCGGTCTCAACGCCAAGCTGGGTGGAAACGGAGAAAGTGTGCTGAGTCAAGGGATCGTAAGAGGAGAGAGGAGCTGGAGCGATAGCACAGTTGGGTACAGTGCTTGCCTTGCACACGGCCGACCCAGGTTCAATCCCTGACATCCCATATGGTCATCCAAGTAGGGCCAGGAGTGAGTCCTGAGCACCACCACCTGTGCTCCCGTAAACTCCCCCCGCAAAGAAAGAAAGAAAAGAAAAAGGAGAGAGTGAAGACCTGGGGTGGGGGGCTGGAGCAATAGCACAGCGAGTAGGGTATTTGCCTTGCACATGGCTGACCCGGGTTCAATTCTGAGCATCCCATATGGTTCCCTGAGCACCACCAGGAGTACTCCCTGAGTGTAGAGCCAGGAGTAACCCCTGTGCATCACCAGGTGTGACCCCCCCTTCAAGAAAAGGAAAAAGAAAAATACCTAGGGTGGGCCAGGCCCCTTGGAGTAAATTCTGAGCCGCTCCCTAAAGCAAAAAAAAAAAAAAAAAAACCGTATTCCTGGGGCCAGTGCTGCCAGCCAGAGCCAGATAAAAATACCCTGATGGTGAGAGAGTACAGAGGTTAAGGTGCTTGTCCGAAATGCTGCTGAACCTGGTTTGATCCTCAACACCCCATGGGGCCCCTAGAGCACTACCTAGAGCGATCCCTGAGCACTGCCACAAATAAACCCCGAGTGGATGTGGCACCCAAGCAAATGTCCTCTGCTTCTCCCCATCCAGAAATGGGGGGCGGGGGTGGGGGTGTCCTCGCAGCCCAGCTCTGCCTACACGGAGGGTGAAGACTGGGGCTGGTTTTTGCTTGTTTGTTTGTTTGTTTGTTTGTTTTCATAACCAAGCAGGGCTGATCCTCGACTTCGCTGCAGCAGCCTGCCCTCGGGGTCTGGGAGAAAGGCTGGGGTCAGGGTCGATGAGGGGGCTTCGAGGACCCCAGTGGAGGGAGAGGAAGGACTGGGAGGAAGGGGGCGTGCCTGCCCGCGGGGGCCTTGTCCGATTTCCTGGTCTGTAAAGCCACCCCCCAACACCCCCCAACACTCCTTCTCCTCCCCTCCCCTCACCCCTGCCCCCTGCAAGCCCCTTCCTAAAAGCCTGGTGTGGTTGTCCCTCGAGGAAGGACAGAATGGGGGCAGAGCTCAGCAGGACCACCCGCCTTGGGAGCCAAGGGGGCTGGGCAGGAACAGCAGCTGCAGTGTCCCAGACAAGCCCCCGCCCCCCACCGCCTCCCAGAAGCCCTCGGGAGTGTTTTGCAAGAGCGGGAGGGAAAGGACAGTGAGACGTGCCCACGCAGGCCCCCCCGGCCCACAGCATTAGGACTTCCATGTTGAACCAGTCCCTGGTTCCTTCCTGTTGGACTCCCTGGCCCCACCCAGCAGGAATGTGTGGGCTGGGCAGGGGGATCCCCAGTCCGGGGCATTACCACCCCCGATAGCTGGGTGAGGCCCAGAGGGGATTTTCCATCCCAGGTGTGAGATCTCCCCCGCGACTTCCCCCCATTCTCCACCACAAGAGGTGGCCCTGAGAGCCCACACTGGGGCCCCAGGAAGGGACGCAGGCTCGCTCAAGGCTGGCACTGGGGACCTCCAGAGCCTGGGCTCAGCCCTCCCTGGCCTCCCCCCACCCTGTATATCTCTCCCCATCTTCCTCCACTACACGCCCCACCTCTTCTGACTCCTCCAACACCCCCCACCCACGTCCACCCCAGTAGCCTAGAGCCGGGCGAGCTCGGAGGGTGAGCCCCAACACATCCACGTCCCCGTCAAACTTGGGCACCCCGCTGCCCCTGGGGGAACTGAGAGCCCCAGCTGGACATTTCCAGGCCATCCCCCAGCAGGCCAGGAAGACACACAGAGGGCGGGAGCCGGCCAGGCAGAAACAAAGAGCCGTGGAGACCGTGGGCAGGAAGAGGCCACAATGGGGCCAGCAGGCAGGCCGAGCCGTCTTGAGGGTTGGTCAGTTGGCCAGCTCTCAGCGCGTTCCCATCACTCTGCCGTTCAGCACTGCTGGAGACTGGGGGTGCCGGGCAGTGGGAGGGCCTCAGCCGCCCCAGGAAGGAACCCCACCCCCACCCTCAGTCCCGGGGTCAGTCACCTCCGGTGGGGGCAGGGGAGGCTGTTCCCAGGGCCCCTGGGGTCCTACGGGTCTCTCAGCCACAACCCCAGGCCTCAGGCCACGCCCACAGATCTTCCAGAACCCAGGAGAGAATGGAGGTCACCTGCCTCCAACCTTAGGCCTGAGCCTGGGGCTCTGCACAGGGATACTGCAGCCGAGGCCAGGCGGGCACCCCGCAGGGTGGAGGCTGCACCCCAGGGCCCTGTTCAGCTTCTTAGGAAACAGCCCTGAGAGGGGGCTGAGGGGCTTGGGAGGGAACTCGGAAGGTTCCTCATCCTTGTTTCTCCATCAGCTCAGCAGCCAAGGGAAGCTCAAGTCCCCGCCCCACCAGGAGCCAAATGGAGCCCAGGCCTCAACCTCCCAGCTGCTACCCCTGGTTCTCCAGGTCCTCCTCCAACCCTCCTCTCTCCCACCCAGCCCGTCCCCCCATCTTTCTCTCTTAGCAGGCGGGTAAGCAAACTAGCGATCTGGGCTTGCAGCCCAAATGACAAGCGTGACAGACAGAGAAAGGGCCTTATAATCATGCAGCACACAGTAGCCCACACTGCCCCCCAGACTTCTCAAAGCTGCCCAGGTCCTAGATGGTCTCAACTGGCAGTGGGAGAGAGGGAGGGATTGCCCAGCGTGAGTGTACATATGTGTGACCATGTACATACATGTGTGTGAGTATATGTGTGCATGCATGTGTCTACATGTCCGTGAGTGTGTGCACACATGTATGTATGGCTGTGGGCATACACATGTCTGAGTGTGTGAGTTGTGTGCATGCATGTCTGTGAATGTATGAGTATATATGCATGTGTGCACATGTGTGTGAGTGTGTGCATACACTTGTGAGAGTGTGTGAATGAGTATGTACATGCATGACTGTGTATACACTTGTCTGAGTGTGTGTGAGTTGTGTAAGTTACATGTTTGGGTGTGCACATGTGGGTATGTGCATGTGTGCATGTGTGCACACATGCCTGAGTGTGTGGGTGTGTGCATATATGTCTGAGTATGTGTGCATGACTGTGTATACATATGTTTAAGTGTGTACACATGCGAGTTTTGTGCATACATGTGTGGGTGTGTACATACATGTATGTGCGTGTACATATGTGAGTATTGCATACATGTGTATGAATACGTATATGAGTGTGTGTATGACTGTGTACACACATGTCTAAGTGTGAATTATGTCCACACACATGTGTGTGAGTCTGCATGCATGTGTGTAAATGTGCATGTGTACATGAGCACATGTGTGTATATACTAGTATGTTCACATGTGAGTGTGCCTATGTATGAGTATGCTGTAAGCATGTGTGAGTGTGTCTGAGTGAGTGTGTCTGGGTGAGTGTGCTGTATGAATGAGTGTGAGTGTGCTTATGAGTGTGTGAATGAGTGTGCTGTGTGAGTATGCTGTGTGTGCCTGTGAGTGTGTGAATGAGTATGTATGAATGAGTGTGCGTGTGTGTGATTGAGTGTACTGAGTGTGAATGTCTGTGCTGTGGGCTGTATGTGCCTGTGAGTGTGTGTGAATGAGTGTCTGTGAGTGTGTATGAGTGTGTGAATGAGTGTTTGTGAATAAGTGTGCTGTGTGTGTCTGTGAGTGTGTGTGAATGAGTGTGCTGTGTGTGCCTGTGTGTGAATGAGTGTTTGTGAATGAGTGTGTGTGTGATTGAGTGTGCTCTGTGTGAATGACTGTGCTGTATGCTGTGTGTGCTGTGTGTATGAGTATGTCTGTTTGTGAGTGTGTGGATGAGTGTGCTGTGTGTGTCTGTGAGTGTGTGTGAATAACTGTGTGTGAATGAGTGTGTCTGTGAGTGTATGAATGAGTGTGCTGTGTGTGCCTGTGTTTGTGAATGAGTGTGCTGTGTGTGTGTCTGTGAGTGTGAATGAGTGTGTGTGAATGTGTGTGAATGAGTGTGTCTGTGAGTGTGTGTGAATGAGTGTGCTATGTGTTCCTGTGAGTGTGTGTGTAGGGGCGGGCATGCAGGGGTTGGCAGGGTTGGACTGGGCAGCAGGAAAGAGGAGGGAGGGCATGGTCCCAGAAGCTCTCACCTGGCCCCTCCCGTGGGTGTGTGTGTTGGGGCCGAGGGTCCCTGGGAGGTCAGGGTTGGCGCTGAACCCCTGAGGGGCCCACACCTCGCCCGTGACCGAGGCAGATGGCACGGGGAAACATGCCCTGGGCTGGTGAGGGCAGGAGAGGCAGCAACCGAGGAGTGTGCTGACTTTCTGCGGCGGCTCGCGTGGAGGTTCCCACACTGCCGGGGTTCTCAGGAGGAAGAACGGGGAGAGAGGGGGCCACTGGGCTCGAGGCTCGGCCTTGCCCACTGGCAGGAAGTTGCCCAGAGCAAATGCGTCAAAACAGAATTCTTAGGCTGGGCACTGCTTTCCTCCCGCCGGGCCCCCTTGCTCAAACAGGTCTGTTGTTGTTTTCGTTCATCTGGGAGAGGAAACCGGGCCCCTTGCAGCCGAAGCCGGAGACCGCAGGCGCCAAACCAAACCTCTGGGCAGCTTCCCAGCCCCCTGAGCTCCCCGGCTCAGTGGAAAGTTTGCCGGGTAGAGGCACAACTTCACACTCCCACATGCTCGGGGCGCCAGCCACGGGGGACCCCGGGCAGCCGCATCCCAGGCCCTAGCTGGGAGCTGCAGAGGGGCGCGCGCGAGAGGGAGATGGGCATCCCTGTGTCCTGGACGTGTGGGTGGAGGGTGGTCACCGACGACCTGGTGCAGGCCAGCACCCCTCCAGGGCACATAAGTCACCATGGCTGCCACAATTCTATTAGTCTCCCGGGTACCCCACAAACAGGTGGGCTCAGAACTGCAGAACGGCTTGCCCCGGACAGAGAGGGTGGGGCCAAGATTCTGACACAGGCCTCTCCCCACCCGAGCCCACCCCACTGCCCCCCCGAAAGAGGGCTGGAGAGAAGACTTGCAGCAGAATATGGGGGGTCTGGAGAGAGCCACAGAACATCAGGATGCCACAGAGCACTGGAGTGTCCAGCCTAGGGCAGCAGGCAGTGTCCAGGGTCCTCGCGGGGCTGGGCAAGCAGCCTATGTGAGGCCCTGGGTGGGATCACCAGCACCCTCCCCGCAACCCACTACACAAACACACACACACACACACACACACGCTCAATCAGCCTCTGGGCCCAGGGGCAACTGCACAGAGCTGGACCCCCCTGGGCACACAGCCACCCTGGGGGTGGCCCAGGTCCGATGCTCACTCACCTTCCTGCAGCTTCACGCTCTGCAGGTACAGGGGGTTTCTCAGCACGTTGCAGAGTCCTGGCTCGTCCTCCTTGGTGAAGAGCAGCAGGTCCGAGTAGGCAAACAGGGTTACCTGCAGTGTTGGAGAGCAAACACACATGCGTGGAGACTCACACACATGGAGGCATGCACACACACACACACACACACACAAACACACACACACACACACACATTCACACACTCAGGAACTGGCAGCTCTGGGTTCCCGGCTGCTCAGCCGGCATTGGATGCCCCTGGCCTGAGCCTTTCCCCAGGTCAGACAGGGATGTTGGTGGTCCCGGGGAAAAGCCTTCATCACATTCCCAAGGACACATCCAGGCCAGACTCCGGAGTCCTTCTCCAAGCTCCTGACTGCTGCCTTTGCACTCCTCAGAGCAGGAAAACATAAGCAGAACCTAAATGCCACTCAGATCCGCCCTCCTCCCCCACAGGGCCCCCCAGACTTGGACCTGGAGGTACAGGAAGAATCCCCTTTGCCAGAGTCCTGAAGCCCCATGCCCCAGCAGTCATGGTGGCTGGGTAAGTGGGTTCAGTTCCCTGCACACCGCTGGCACTGACCAGGGTCCTCACTCGCCTGGGCAAAGAGAAGCGAGTCCTATAGAAGCGGGTTTCCCTGTAGTCTCCTGGGACGTGCTACGGAGGCTGAGGAGAAAAACACTCTACCTGGCAGGTGTTATTACCAAATTCCTGACGGGTCCCCTTCCATCGCATTGAAATAAATGAACGTGCAACTTGGCTCCCTCCCCCCACAAAAGGAGCCAGTCACTTACGCTCCAACACAGACGTGCACATAACATTTATCGTTTTTATGCACTCGCTGCTCCAAAAATAAAGGGGAAATCTATTTTTAAACATTATAGGTAAACCAACAGTCATGCTCAGCATATTTCTAAATGTTCCGAAATCCACTTGATCCTCTTAATGCCACTGCAGATTATGCTGTCCTTTGTTGCATAAATCCTACCATGGCCTTCGGTCCAAAGCAATAAAATCCAATTTTAGATTCTCCCCCAAGAAAACAGATGATGCATTCTGTGAACTTCCCTTTGAGGCGTCAAAGCCTGGCACATGATCTCTTCCAAAGAAATCAGCCAGAGGAGATTGGCAGGTGCCAGCACTGGCCTTGTGTGCATTGGATGAAAGCTGAAGCCGATGCGGGAACGTGGGCCAGGTGGTGCTTGGACTGTGTCCACCCCCCAACTCCACCTCTGAGCTCTCTGACAGAATCTTAAAGCAAACGAAGCACAGGGACTCCCATCCAGAGAGGAACTAGAGACTAAAGCCCTCTGCATCCCGAAAGCCGGTTGCTGTGCCACTCTTCGAAAGATCGGACAAGGGAATGTGAGCCGAACTGAAAATCAATTATCCATCATGAGCCCAAATAGTGCCAAGTGCAAAGTACCTCAGATGTACTGCGGTTTTGTGAATCATGGCTGTGTTCTTCCCTGTAATTGCACCTGGTTTTCTTTTTTAATGTCTGAGACAGTACACTCTTCACTCTAAAGGGTGGGGTTTTTACTTCCTGCCTTCCTAAACATTCTTTATTTTGGGTTGGAAAATTTGTTGCTTTTGTAATTTCAAAATATGCGTTCTAGAGGCCAGAGGCAAAATAACTGGGGATAAGGCACTTGACTTGCCTAACATGAAACTGATCAAGGTTTTGATCCCTGGCATATGATTTTCAGAGCACCACCAGGAGTGATCCCTGAGCACAGAACCAGGAATGATCCTTGAGTATAGAGCCAGGAGTGATCCCTGAGCACCACCAGGAGTGATCCCTGAGCACAGAACCAGGAGTGATCCCTTAGTATAGAGCTAGGAGTGATCCCTTAGTTTAGAGCTAGGAGTGATCCCCGAGCACCACCAGGAGTGACCCCTGAGCACAGAACCAAGAATGATCCTTGATTATAGAGTCAAGACTGATCCCTGAGCACCACCAGGAGTGATCCATGAGCACAGAACCAGGAATGATCACTGAGTACAGAGCCAGGAATGATCCCTGAGCACAGCTGTGTCTGGCCCAAAAGACAGATAAAGACTTAAAAAGATGAGCAGAGGAGACAACCATCACAAAGTGAAGGGAGGCAGGGCAAAGGGTCCCTGAGTCTAGAAGATCTGGGTGGAGAGGAGGAACGACTCTCAAGTCTGTGCAGGGAAAGGAGAAGGCGAACCCCATGGGGCGCACACTTCGACTCGCCACTCGAGGCAAGAGTGTTGCCTACAGCCACCTCCAGACACCCTGACAGGTACAACCTGTGGCGGAAAGGCTGGGGGGGGGGGGCTGAAAAAGTCCCAACTGACCGGACCCCCAAGAGAACTAGGTAGACAGCAAGCAGGGCAGGGCCCTGGCAAGGTGAGCAAAGCTCCCGGCTCTGCTCTGGCCCTGGTCCCCAGAGCTGAGGACCTGGTCTAGACGGGAAGCGATTACGGCCTCAATAAAGAATTTCCCCCAAAGGTCAGGTCAGGGAAAAGGCAGATTGCCACAGAGCAGGAGGCTGGGCAGAAGGGCAAGCGTGCCAGGCGGGGGCCAGCTGGGTCCTCGCCTGCTCACCAGCAGAGCCCACATCTGCCCACAGAAGGGAAACGCCCAACCCCAGGGCCTGCCACCCGCCACAGCTGGTCCTGGGGAACACCTGCTGCTGGCCCACACTTGCTCCTGGGGCACATCTGTTTCCCCAGGGGTCAAGGCTAAGGGAGCACTTGTAACAGGAGGGCCACTCTCCCAAGGAGCCCAAGGCAAGCCTCCAGCTGGGAATCCTGCCCCAAGGCAGGGCCCTAGTTAATGGTCAGTTCTAAGAAACTGTGAGTGGAGTCCCAAGGCCCACACTGCCAGAGCTTTGAGCATGGGGCCTGGCACCACCTGGTACCACGTGTGGATGCTCAGGAGTGCAGGTGAAGACACGTGGGGGGCTGATCCAGCATGCAAATCTCCATATATATATGGGGCTGGAGCGATAGCACAGTGGTAGGACATTTGCCTTGCACGCAGTCAACATGGCCGACCCGAGTTTGATTCCTCCGCCCCTCTCGGAGAGCCCGGCAAGCTACCGAGAATATTTCGCCCGCATGGCAGAGCCTGGCAAGCCCCCCGTGACATATTCAATATGCCAAACACAGTAACAACAAAGTCTCCAATGGAGACGTTACTGGGCCCGCTCGAGCAAATACATATATATATAATTTTTTTTTTTGTATTATATACTTTGGTCACATCCAGCGGTGCTCAGGGATGACTCCTGGTTCTGTACTCGGGAAATCACTCCAGGCAGTGCTCAGGGGAGCATTTTGGATGCTGGGAATTGAACCCAAGACAAGCGTCCTACCCACTGTATGATGGCCCCAGCCTTCCTGGTGCATTCTGGAAGCTTGTGGCATCAGGGACAGCAAGTCCCCATGTGGGACTGGACCAGCCCGAGCATGCTCAGGCCAGGCACCAGCAGGGGAACGTTCCCAGCATCAGAAGTCCTGTTGAGGGGCTGAAGAGGGAATACAGTGGGCAGGGCATTGGCCTTGCATGCAGCCAGCCTGGGCATCCCATATGGTCCCCCAAGCACCACCAGGAGTAATGCCTGAGCTCAGAGCCAGAAGTAAACCCTGAGCACTGCTGGGGTGGCCCCCCCACACAAAAAAAAGATTCTTGTTGAGCTTCCGGGAGCACTTTTCTACCATTTCATACTCGCCAGCAGTGAAGCCATTGTCTGGAGGTGCCACCTCGACAGACATGAGAAGAAACTGGTCTCCCACCATGACCAGAGTCTCAGGGAAGCCAGAGACAGAGCGCTCTTAGGGTCCGACCAGACCCCCGGACTCTACCAGCTCTTGGGTCGGGGTTGTTCATTAGTTCTGGGACTGGTGTCTTTTGTTACTTGTTTGTTTTCATTTCTGAGCCACACCCAGTGGTGCTCGGGGTTCACTCCTGGCTGAGCTCAGGCTCGGGGGACCCTATGGGGTGCCAGAGATGGAACCTGGGTCAGCCATGTGCGAGGCAAGTGCCCTACACACTGTCTTGTCCCTCTGGCCTCAAACTGCTGTTTATTTTTTGCCCTGACAACTACAGCAGACGTACTTACTCCCTATTGCACATCCGGGGGTGGCGGGGGGACGGGGAACTGAATTTATTTGACTTTTTCCAGATCATTCTTTTGCTCTTCAAAAGCTGTAAGAATTCACCGGGTGAAGATTGTGGGGACAGACTATAACTTGCAAAGACTCTGGCACACGGTGGGTTGTGTGTTTGCAAACAGCCTGGAGCCTGGGAAGCCCCCCTGAGTCAGGGACCCTGGAGAACCCAGGGGTATGGGTCAACTCACGGGCGCCTCAGTTTCCTCATCTACAGGGGAGCTTCCGGAGCTCTCTGGAATCAGGTACGTGGAGCGCATGTGGGTGAGGTGATCCCCACTCAGCGGGGAGCAGGGAGTGGACAGGGAATGGGAATGGACAGGGGCAGCTGTGTGTATTTCTGGGGACTCCATTTCCAAATGCCTTCTGAATTCTGGGACCACACCTCACCTTCTGATCCAACACAGATTCACCAAGCACAGCACCCTGTGACATCTTGCCCCTAAAACTCAAATCCCGCTAAAACACACACACACACACACTTCAGTAGACAAGCTGAGGCTCCTAAGAAAGTTCCCAAAGAAGAGGTCCTGGGACGCACAGGTGATGCCACAAGACAGGGGAACACATGCTGGTCTCCCCAGAGTTGTCCAGAAAGGGGCGAACTTTTGGAAGACATGGCTTCTAGTTTCAGAAATAAATACGGGCAGTGCACTGCAGAATGTTCCAGAAAGGTGATTTTTAATGGGGCACTTGCGGCCTCTGATTACCCTGTCTTTGTTGCTTCCACCAGATGCATACACACACACACACGCACGGTCATACTCATGTGCACACACTCTCACAATCACATACTCTTACAGCCACACAATCATACAGCCATATACTCTCACACACATACATACACACTCTCTCAGACTCACACACTCACTCTCACATACACACACTCTCGCACACATACCCTCACACGCTCAGAGACAGACACGTTTATACAGTCTAACACACACAGTCTCTCACACATACACACACATACACTCACACACTCTCACACTCACACACACACATATACACAAACACACTCAAAGTTCAGAGGAGAACACTGAGGAAGCAGGAGTTTCCTCATCTTTCCACACCCCTGAGTTGCTCCCTCCAGCCATGTCCTGCTACCAGCTGCGAGTGGGGCACGACCTCCAGAAAGCCGCCTGCCCTCCGCCAAGACCCGGGCAGAGAGTCAGGGCCCAGGGCTCACCTTCCCCTTCCCACACGGATTCAGCTTGCTGGAAGCTGGCTGGCTCGGGGAAATATGTGGGTAAATGATTCTGCTTATCCCCCAGAGATAAGCAGAGTGAGTGCCCAGGGAAAATCACAGACTCAGTCCCCTGCCACAGACTGGCATCGTGTGGGGGTCCGCGGAGGGGGTTTTTCAGACATTCTAGACATCAAAGACTGAAAACGGGCTGGAGCAATAGTACAGCAGGCAGGGCGTTTGCCTTGCACGCGGAAGACCCAGGTTCGATTCCCAGCATCCCAGATGGTCCCCCGAGCACTGCCAGGGGTAATTCCTGAGTGCATGAGCCAAGAGTAACCCCTGGGCAGCGCCGGGTGTGACCCCAAAAGCATAAAAACAAAGACTGAAAACAGTTTAGGTGGGGGAGGGGTAGCTCCCCCTCTCCCCAGTGCTGAAAACGGACTAGCGAGGAATGCTGGCAGGGAGGGTGTGGGTTTGAGGGCTGGAAGGCTCTCGGGTCACTCGGTCCGGCCAGGAGCTGGAACAACTGTGAGGAGGAAATCGACCCCCTTGGGGGAGTCCCGGCCCCCCCGCTCACCTCAGCAGCCTTGTTCCTCCCCTCATACAGCAGCAGCTCTTCCGACAGCAACAGGGTCCGCGCCGGGTTGCAGAGGTCCAAGGGCTGGAACCACAGGGTCTGCTCAGGACCGACCGTCCTCCCCACCCCAAGCACCCGCTCAGCCCCTCACCCACTGAGGGAAACGGAAGGGGGACGCTCCGAGCCCGTGTGAGACGGCAGCTGCCACCTTCCGCTGCCCCGCCCCCTCATGCGGTGACACCCGGACAGGAAGTCCAACCACAGACTAGGCCTCTCCCCTTTCCCCTGTGCCCCCCACCCCCACCTCTGCAGGAGGGGGGGTCCTGGGTGCCCCAGACCCTAGCCCTCCCCCCACCCCCCGGTCTGTCCTGGGCCTGCCTCATGGGAAAGTCCCTGCAGTCAGACCTGGCCTGCCGAGGGGCCTTGGGAGGGAGGCTCGAGCCCCTTCAAGGCCGGGCCCAGCCCTGTCCACACTCGACACAGGTTTGGACCAACGGTGCCCAGAAGCCTCTGGGAGGTGCACCCAGCTCTCTCATGCCACCCCCATCACCCTGGCCCAGAGAAAGGCCCTGAGTGTTGACTCGCCCAGCAGAGCTGACCCAAGGTGGGTACGGGAGACTCGAAACCCCAGACCCCCCGAGGAGGGTCTCCCTTGAAGGGGGCTCAGAGATGGCGGAACTCAGAGGTATTTCTAGGGACCCGACACCAGCAAGGGGCTGGAGGGAAGGTAGCAAGATGAAGGTCAACTCCACGCAAGCACCAGATGGAGCTGACGAAGCACGGGAGGCTGGAACAGCGGTGGCCCCCAGGACAGGGGTGGGGTGAAGCCCCCCAACAGCGAACCCAAGGAGGCCAGGCAAAGCCAGTAGAAATTACAGAACAGGTTGATCCTCAAGCCCAGCTAGTGAGGCCACGGGGTGAGGAGGAGGAGGGTGTTACCGAGAGAAGAGAATATGCGAGGGGCCTTGCCGGGGGTGGGGACTGGCCAGTCTCGCCATCTCGGCGGGCATGCCCTGTTGAAAGGTTTGTTAAAGGGCACATGGCCGGCCAGAGAGACAGTACAGGAGGTAGGGTGCCCGCTTCCCATGTGGCCCACCCGGGTTTAATCCCCTGCACCCCATAAGGTCCCCCGAGCCCTGCCGAGAGAGATCCCTGAGCACAGAGCCAGGAGGAAGCCCTAAGCACTGCCAGGTATGGCCCCTCACTGTAGTACTGTCCTCTGTTGTTCATCGATTTGCTCAAGCGGGCCCAGTAATGTCTCCATTGTGAGACCTGTTGTTACTGTTTTTGGCATATCGAATATGCCACGGGTAGCTAGCTTGCCAGGCTTTGCCGTGCGGGCGAGATTCTCTCGGTAGCTTGCTGGGCTCTCTCTGAGAGGGGTGGAAGAATCGAACTTGGGTCGGCTGGGTTGGCTGCTTGCAAGGCAAATGCCCTACCCACTGTGTTATCACTCCAGCCCATGGCCTCTTAAACAAAAATAAAATGCCATGGAAGCTTTAGGCCCAGGTGGTGGGTGTGTTTGGCCACAGAAGGGCTTTGCGACTTCTTTCAGACCTTTTGGGTAAATATTTCTACAAATAAGAATTGATCCCCGGGCTGGAGTGATAGCACAACCGGTAGGGCGTTTGCCTTGCACAAGGCCGACCTGAGTTCGATTCCCATCATCCCATATGGTCCCCCAAGCACCACCAGGAGAAATTCCTGAGTGTATGAGCCAAGAGTAACCCCTGTGCATTGCCAGATGTAACCCAAAAAGAAAAAAAAAATTATCCCTGTGGAAGCCAAGACATTGGAAGGAAGGGGAAGGGCAGGCCAGGCTGAGGGGGGTTCCCTTGGGAAGCAGCTGCCATGCTCTGAGAGTGAGTTCTCAGATCCCCGGTGGGGGCCAGGGCTGGGGTGGGCTGGGTGTCCGGGTACACAGCACAAGGCAGGCAGGGGCTGCAGATTTGTGGCTGTGGGATCACCGTGCCGTGCAGGAGAGGCTGAGCCAGCTCTCAGGCAAAGACTTTTCCATTTGCCTAAGGAGCTTTCAGAATGTTTACGCTCCGGGAGTGGGTTCTTTCAGTTCGAGGAAGTCCTCCCAAGGAGAATGATCCTGAGACTCTATTCACACGTGGGGATTTTCATTACAGGCCTATTTTAGTGACAGCAGGCAGAGTCGACAGAACCTAAAGGTCTAAACAAAGACCTGGGCTGGAAAAAGAAAAAAAAAAAGAGGCCACGGCCACAGACTACGCAGCACGGAGCTCGTGACGCGGGGAGAGTGCGAGCTGCCATGTGTGTTTAGAGAGCCCTGGGGTGCTAAGTGGGCGGCAGAGCTAGTTGCTCAGATGTGCGCGGGCACAACGGAAAGAGACCTGAAGGGTCACGTCAGCCAGCCGTGTCAGAAGGGAGGAGGGAGAGAGAAGGGCGGGTGAGACGCACTCTGGGCTCCCGCAGGGGCACGCCTGCCCCTATTTGCTCAGGCCACAGCTCCCGTTGGCCATTTTCAAACACAAACCACCAGATGGGCCCCAGGAAGCTGAGGCTTGGCCAACAGCCCCGGGAGACTCCGGCGAGCAGTGCCAGTGTGTCCGGCCTGACCCCAGGAGAAAGGAGAAGTGAGGAGGGGGACTGAGGGGACCCCGCACCCACCCCCGCCTCACGCTGGCCTTTCCTGCTGCTCCTCCCGAAGCGTCTGTCCCCTCAGAACCAGACTCAGACTCCTGAGCACCTGGAGGGGCGTCTTTTCCCCCATGGGGCCTCCCTGCATCCCGCTGTGGACGGTTCTCTCCCTTCTCCCCCAAGGGTCCCCACGGCGCGCGTCTCACCTGGACGAAGATGGGGAACACCAGGACCTTGGGGGCCAGGGTGACGTAGGTGCCATAGCTGGAGTGTGGTGCATGCGGCCGCAGGGCTGAGCAGTTCTGGTAGTTGCCTTGGCCCTTCATGGTCTGCACCGTCTTCATCAGCCGGGACTTCTTGCCCAGGCCCGTGGAGGACTTGCCTTTGCTGGGACTCCCCGACTCTGCGCAGTGGAGATGGGGGTGCCGTGAGGTATTGCCTGACCTCAAGGGAGCCCTCCCATGAAGAAGGGGGGCTCTTGAGTGAGGTGCAGGGAAAACCCTCCCATTCACAGGAGGCCCCTGGGCCTGGAAGCCACTCCAGGCCTGAGACGCAGCCGGGGTACCCCCAAGGACCACGGAGCCCCTGTCTGGTGACCCAGCTAGACCTCTCAGCTTGGCCTCAAAGCAAAGAAATCAGAAAACGTGGCCCCTAAGACATCGTAAGGTCTGACCATCAGACCTGCCTGGACCATCGGTGGGAGCAGAGCGCAGGGCCCCCCACTGTCTCCCTCCGCACCTGCCCAGCCCAGGCTGCCCACCCAGACCTAGGACTGGGGCCAGGGGCAGCAGAGACGGACTTGTTCTCTTCACCCCACCAAAGCATACACCCCCATCTGGAAACAGCCACCACAGCTGCTCCTGTGTTGGGTCAAAGCCCCCCGCCCGCCTGGAATCAGGTGGCAGTGCCTGAGCCCAGCCATGTTCACCAGCCTGTGCCCCCCACTGTGGCTTCCTATCCCGAGGGTCTTGATTTCAACTGGCACCAAGCCATGCTATGTGTGTGTGTGTACGTGTGTGAGTGTGTGTGTAAATATGTGTATGTGTACGTGTGTTCATGTGTCTGTACACTCCTGTGCTTATTATGTATATGTGTGTCTGTGTGAGTATGCATGTGTGTATGTGTGTCTGTGTGCGTGTACATCTGTGTGCACACGTATGTATATGTGTATGTGTGTGCATGTGTCTATGCATACATGCATGTACTTTTTACATATATATGCATGTCTGTGTGAGTATGCATGTACATGTGTGTGTGTGTGTGTGTGTGTGTGTGTGTGTGTGTGTGTGTGTTGTAAGACCCCAAAGAATACCCCTCCCCAAAAAGTCCTGAGCACAAGGCCTGGAAGCTTCTGCTTTCTTGATTCCTGTGTTGTTCCACGTGTTGTAAAGCTAGTTCATCAGGTGCTCCCAGGGTCTCTGAGAGCCCAAGGTCTTATGGCAACCCCAGCAAGGCCACCACCTCCCGAATCCTGCTCCTCAGAAGCGAGAGGCGGAGAAAGAGAGGCGAGACCCCAAGGCTGCAAGAACAGGGCCCTTGGGTGCCGCATCGCTGTCCTACTGACCCCTTGGCAGAGAGCAAGAGAGTCAGGGAGCTGTGGGGCCAGTGAGACCCGCGGAGGTAAGGTGCCCACCAGACATGCAGCCCGACTGTGGCCAGCCCCAGCACTATGGATGCAAGCCCTGAGCATGCTGGGTGTGGCCCAAACAAAAGCAGAGACAAAGGCGGGGGTCTGGGGCCCCAGTAGGAAGGAGGCCAAGCTCAGAGCAGCTGGACTCTGCCATGCCCGGGCTCCCCTTCCATGTGGGGAATGTTCTAGCCCCTTGGCCAGCACAGCCCGGAACTTCTCTGCTGCTGCAGCCCCTGGGTCTCGGCAATGGGGGTGAGGGGGCGGGAGGTGGCTGGACCCCAGCGACATCTCGGGGAAGCTCCCCACCCACATGAGGGCCACAGCCCAGCCTGGGAGGAAGCCCCAAGCCAGCTCTGAAGGTCTCACACTTGCTTCCTCCGCCCACCTGCCCTTTGTCCTGTGCAGAGCAAGAGAAAAAGCTGACACCTGACCCCCAGCAAGTGGTCACTGACCCCGTGGCATCTTGGGGCCATACTCAGAGCATAAGGGTCATGATTGACTGCTTCCTGCCTCTCTGGGACTGCTGAGCGGGGAGTCAGCAGGGGTTGCAGGAAGTGGGTGAAGGGAGTGGATTCAAGGAAGAAGTTGCCAGGCGCTCATCTGCCCAGCCCATGCAGCAGCCCCAGCCTGGGGGATGCACAGTCTGGTTTGAGCGGGGCGGGGGGGTGTCACCCCCAAACTGCAGCCTTGGCTTCCTCCCACAACAGACCGCCACCCTGAGCAGGTCCCTCCCCATTGGAGCTGCGTTCTCAGCCCAGAGGGGCTACCACAAATGCTACCTCGCACCCCCTGGACGGAGGGAGGCACCTCGTGAGAGCCTGGGGGCTTATTAGACACCCCAAACCCACGACTCAGCTGCGCCTTACGTCTGTGGTGCCCTCTGACCTCACTGTGAATGGGGTCACCGGGGCACCCTGAAACTTACCTCACTACCCGCAGGGAGGTGAAACCACACAGGATGGTAAGTGGGCGACCGAGGCAAACTAGACCAAAAGTGGTGCCGCAGAGAGAGTGCAGCGGGCGGGTGCTTGCCTTGAGGCAACCCTCCTGGGTTCGAGCCCCAGTACCTCTCCGGGTCCCTCGAACCCCGCCAGGAGTGACCCCTGAGCACAGAGCCAGGAGTTAGCCCTGAGAACTGCGAGGTGTGGCCCCCAAACGAACAAAGAAACAGAAAAAAATAGACCAAAATCAGAGAAGTGCCCAGTTTGCTAGGTCCCATGCTGCCCAGCCTGGACCCTCCCGGGCACTGTTTCTGCCGGTCCTTGCCCAGCACCGGGGATGAGTGGGCTTGTCTCCTGCCACCACCCAGTGGTCCCAGGACCCCTCGCTTTCAGCAGGAAAGCTGGGCTTGGCCCTGGGCACACCAGGTCCCTGGGGCCCAGGGAGCTGGGGGTGACTCACCCAGGCAGTCACACCCTCATGCCCCCGCTCCACACACCCCTGGACGTGGGGTGACCAGTCCCTGGGGCTCTCTGAAGCCCATTTCTGAAAATTCTTTTTCCGAATGATCCAGAATTGCCACCCAGATACTGAGCTTCAGTGAAGGAACAAAACAAAAAAACCTACCTCAGTTACCCACCTGCTCCCTCCTTCTATCTCTGGCCCCAACCTCCTCCTCCCCGATCACCCCATTTTTTTTTTGCTCCAACACCTGCCCCACTGACCAAACACAGTAATTACTCAGCTTTGTCCAGCTTCCAGGGTGAACCCACGCCCGGGCAGCCACCCCGCCCCGGCAGTGGTGACTCAGAGCACCCCTCCAGCCGCAGACAATGCCCAGGGCACCAGTGCCCCCAGGGACTCTGCCAAACCCAGGTCAGCGGGCTCCACAGGCTCCATTGAAGTCAGGGTCACTCCACACTCCCTCCTGAGAGGAGGCGGGGCAGCCTGCCTGAGGCAGAGACGGGAGCTGGCACCTCGGGGTGTCAAATGGGTGCTCCGCCAGCCGCCATACCCTGAATCCCACCCCTTCCTTGGAACCCCAGGTCTGGATGCTCTAAAGGTTAGATGCTCGGTGTAGAGCTGATGCACCCTTGGACCCTGGCATAAAGGAAGCAAGGTCAAGTTCTCCAAAGGATGCCTTCCAAACGTTCCCGCTGTGACTCAGACTGCCACCCCCCTCCCTGTCCCCTCAAGTTCCCTGGCGACTGCGTTCTCAGAGGGGGTGCAGAAGGTGGGACAGGCTCAGAGGCCTTGCTGGGCCCCAGAGGGGACACACTACCCGCTGAGGCTAGCCTTGAGAGACACCCAAGCCATTCTCCTCCAGGTCGCCCGCTGCATCTCCTGCTGTTCCTCGCGCTGTCCCTGCCGTTCAGAAGCCACCACCTGGCAGACATGTGTCCACCCCACTGAGGTCTGAAGGCTTTTTAAAAATGGGGGAGGGAAGTATTCAACCAGGAAGAAGAGTCGGGGCTGAAAGGTCGTGAAACGTTCATATCAAACCCTAGTGGCCAGACTTCTGTTAACCTCAGTGTCAAAAGTTTTAATAATATATATTACATATAATACAATATGTAACGAAATATAGTGATAATATATGATATAGTATGTAATATATCATATATTATAGAGCCCGGCAAGCTACCGAGGATATCTCGCCCGCACAGCAAAAGCCTGGCAAGCTACCCTTGACGTATTCGATATACCAAACACAGTAACAAGTCTCACAATGGAGACATTACTGGGCCCGCTCGAGCAAATGGATGAACAACGGGAGGGAAGTGACAGTGATATTTTAATATATTTATATTATATATTATATATATATATAAATTGTAAAGTGTGTCTCATAAAGGCAGGCACATGGGTGGGCAGGAAGGAGGATATTTGTGGAGGGACTTGGACATTGGTGAGGGGACTGGTTTGAAAACATTGCATTCCTGCAACCCAATAATGAATCCTTTTAAATTCAAGGTGTTACCATCAATGTCCTCCCATTGTTCATCGATTTGCTTGAGCAGGCACCAGTAATGTCACACAACAAATCGTGAGATTTGTTGTTACTGTTTTTGGCATATCGAATACGTCACAGGGTACTTGCCAGGCTTTGCCGTGAAGGCGAGATACTCTCAGTAGCTTGCTGTGCTCTCCGAGAGGGGCGAAGGAATCAAACCTGGGTCAGCCACATGCAAGGCAAATACCCTACCCTCTGTGCTATGGCTCCAGCCCAAATTCAAGGTGACTGAAATGGCTTCCTCACTAGTGGGAAATAGTATTTTCCTGACAGGCCAAACCCAGTGACCACAAGGCCCAGCTCCCTGAGAGACAGAGGCACCCCCTCCCCCCAAGCACCCTGAGGCCTGTGCTAAGCACACTGGGCTTTCCTCAGGGGCACAGCGGGTCGCAGATGGGTGCGGGGCTGGGAAAAACCACTTCCAGGAAGAAAGTCAAAAGCTGCAGAAAGATAGGCAGGACTCATGCAGGCCCCAAGCAGCACCCCTAGACACCCACCGGACTGGCGTCTGAGTCAGACAGCTGCCGGGGCTACAGGGAATGCCCACAGCTCTCTGCCTCTGGAAAAAGAGTGTAAACTGAGCCCAGCCTCCACTCCCTGGGGTCCAAACCCAGGTCTGGGACTCAAGAACCCAGAGAGAAGTCTCTGTCCCAAGGCTCCGCACCCCAGGGGCCGCTCAGGGTTTGGGCACCTCCACAGCTGCACTCCAGGGTCTTCTGTCTGATATGCCCAGAAGTGGGAGCGATCTCCCCCTTTCTACAGAGGAAGAAACTGATGGGTACACCCTGTGCCAAGTCCCAGAGCTGGAATTCTGCCTGAGACCTGGCAGTGCCCATCCATGCCACCCCTCCCTGCCATGAGACCTGACCCCTAATGGCGGCTTGGTCACCGTGGACAAGTCCCCTTCAAAGGCCAAGGGGTGTGGGACAACCAGTCATCTATACGGCTCTGGAGAGATGCCCTAGCTGCCTTCAGACATCAGGCCCCAAGCAGGGAGTCCCCGGGTGGGTGTCAGGGTACTGGCATCTGAAGCGAGGCCTCTCCAACCTCACTGTCCCTCTGGGATGCCAGGGCACAGGGAGCCACAGACTCACCTTCGGGGATGGTGTCTTCCTGGTACACGGGCCTCAGCAACTGCAAGGGCAAGACAGGGCTCAGCTTCAGGTGCTCAGTGCTCAGGACCACCAGAGACGCTGCATCCCACCCCAAGGAAGGGCCCCTGAGAACATGAGCTGTCCTGCTGGGAGGGGCCTTGGAGGGAACACAGAGCTGAGAACCCTGCCGAGCTCCGGAGCAGAGAAAGGCTCCTGTGTGGTTAAATCTCACCCCGGGGCCGAGCCCGCACTTCTCGTAGGGTGGCTTGCTCCACAGCACCCCAAGCTAGTACCAGCCATAAAGGAGCAGTTAGGGAGCCAGGGAGACCCGGGCAGAGCCACTGCGGTGGGAACCTCCAGAGGAGGAAAGAGCACGGGACATTTCTCAGACTCTGCCTTCCCAAACCACCTCCTGGGACTGCTGTGCAGGGTCACACACGTGGCCATCCCTTGTGACACCACACACGCTGTCGTCCCCCAAGGGCACACACTCCATCATCCACATGCCATCATAGACTCCATCACCCATGCACAGCATCACATGTTCCATCATCCCTGTCCCATCACGCACACCATCATCCCCCAGGACTTCACACACTCATCACCTCCTAAGCCATTACACACTCCATCTTCCTCATGCTTCCTACATTCCACCATCTCTGCATGCCATCATACTCCGTCACCCCATATGCCATCATGCCCTCCACCCCCCCCACATGATATCATGGCCTCCATCACCCCACATGCCATCATGTACTTTATCACTCCACATGACATCATGGACTCCATCATCCCACATGCCGTCACACACTCCATCACTCCATAGGCCATCATACTCCATCATCCCATGTGGCATCACAGACTCCTCACCTTACATGCCAATCAATGACTTTATCACCCTACATGCCATCACGCACTCCATCACCCCACAGGACATCACGGACTCCATCACCCCACATGCCATTACGCACTCTGTCAACCCACATGCCATCCATGTCTGTGTTCACCTGTATATCAAGTGCTCCCTGCCTCCATGGCAGCCCATCCACTGTGGAAAACACAGACAGCAGAAAGCTCTTCCCCTCCTGGGCTGAACACTTACTCCTCATCCCTGAACCTCACCTGGTCCTGAGGCTATGAGGGCCCATCCTCTCTCTGCCCAGGGCAGTTGTGCAGAGGCTGACCCCAGCCCCATCTCCCTGCCCTTCCTTGCCCCAGACCAGTCATCCGTACCTGGCTCCCAGGGTTCAGCGGGGCCAGGATGATGTAGTTGGGGTCGGCAGGGGCGGTGGCCCGGGACAGTGCAGGCAGGGTGTGCTGGCCGCCACGCTTGGCCACCTCGGTGTAGCGCTCCCAGCCGCCCAGAAGCAGCCCGTCGGAGCTGTCGCACACCAGGTGGCAGCTGTGGCGCTGCTCGGGCCGGGCTGGGGGCCCGTGGGCACAGTTCTTCTCGCGCTTGTTGGGGGGTGACTGCAGGTCATGTGAGGACTTGCAGGAGGCCCGCCGCAGGACCCCGCCATCTGGCCCCGGCTTGACCTGGGGCACCATGCGCCACACCAGCAGGATGATCTCCCCGGGGCAGCTCCTGGAAGATGGGGGGGGGGTGTCACTTAGAGAAAGGTGAGTCTGGGGGAGCCCCAAACCAGCCAGGAATAGGGTCTACTGGAGCAGGGGGGAGAGAGGAGGAGGAGAATGTTCGGGAAAGGAGGGGCAGAGAGGCCAGGCCTAGAGAGGGGTCCCCAATCTCAACCCTAATGGTCAGCAGCGGCTGAGAAGGACACAGAGGCCAAGGTCAGATTAGAAGAATTGAGACCTAAACCTGACGTCTGTCACGAGCAACATACAAGGCAGAGTCAGAACCCACCCGCAGGCAGACCCTCATCTGTCATTCTAGAGCAGAGCTGATGGCTCTCCCCGGGGACCAAGATTTAGGGCACACATACACACACACACACATTTTAATTTTTTGTTTTTTCTTTTCCTGGGCCAAACCCAGCTGTGCTCAGGGATCCCTCCTGGGCGGTGCTGAGGGGACCATAGGTGCCAGGAATTGAACCTGGCAAATGCCTTAACTCCGGTCCTAGATCTGCAGGCCACACATGGGCATTTTAAAGCATCATCAGTTGTGTGGGTCAGAAAGCTGACTCCAGGGGGCTGGAGTGATAGGACAGTGGGCAGGGCGTTTGCCTTGCACGCGGCTGACCCAGGTTTGATTCCCAGCATCCCATATGGTTCCCTGAGCACCACCAGGAGGAATTTCTGAGTGCAGAGCCAGGAGTAACCCCTGTACATCACCGGGTGTGACCCCAAAAAAGAAAAGAGGAGGAGGAGGAGGAGGAGGAGGAGGAGGAGGAGGAGGAGGAGGAGGAGAGCTGACTTCGGGACCAGGGGCATGCCTAGAACCTGAGTCTGATCCCTGGCACTGCATAGGCCTTGGACTACCATCGGGGGTGGTCAGCATGGCCCCCAGCAGCACTGAGCCCGATGGTTTGAAGCACCGACCTGGTGGGTGAAGTGCCTTGGGGAGTGGCCCCTAATCTCCTCTGAGCACTGCTTGAGTGGCCGCCAAACAAACAGATTACAAGGAATCGGGTGATGGAGACGCTTGTGGCACCTTTGCCTCCTGTTTGAAACACCCACTTTGCCGAGGAGCTGGCGGGAATGACTCGCTCCAAGCCCCAGGCCTGCAGGAGAGCCACTCACAGTCCCCTCGGGTCCTCTCCCGGCTCTGCGCCACGACCTGCCATTTCCAGATGCTGAGAGAACCACTCACGGAGGAGCACAGGGAGAGACATGGGGGTGCCACCGTCTGGAGTCCCACCACAGAGCCCCTTACCGAATCTCGTGCGCCAGCTCCACACACTTCCAGTGTTCCACATGCCTCTCATTCAGCTGCAGCACGGTGTCCAGCTGCTGTAGGCCTGCCCGCTCGGCCGGGCCTCCTGGGGGGACCGAGAAAAAAGTCCCCAAAGGTCCGTGACCCTCTCAAGGGAGACCCCGGGTTCTCTGCTTCCTCAGTGACCTGCCTTCTCTGCTTCCTTATCCACAGAGCGGGAGGCCCAAGAGGTGACTGTGAGGGACTGTGAAGAGAGACCCCTCCTCGCCCAACCCTCCCCTCCCTCCCTCTGTGCCCCTTACCACCCCCAGGCCAGCCCGTCCTTGTGGCCCGGCTCACACACGTCCTACAGGCCTTCAACACCATTCCCAAGTGCCAGCCCCAAGCTGGCATGAGCACCCAGAGCCTGAGCCCGGGCATCTTCTGTTAGGGTGCACTAGACTTTGGGGGAAACAAAAAAGAAATGATTCTCTGCAAGTGTTCATCTGACACCCAGCTGTCTACCTGTTGGATCCCCAACATCACACAGGGTCCCCAAGTACCAATGGAATCCCCAGCACTGCCATGTGTGACCTAACCCTCCCCAGTATGCACACGCATGTGCGCACGTGCGCACACATACACACACACACACACACACGCATACACAGTCTGTGCTTATCAGGTTCAGAATCAAAGAAAATGCCACTTCAGGGCTCCTGGGCGGCCCTCATTTTCCCATGTTGCCATGACTGGAAATAGATATTTCACTCCTGGTTGAAGTCATTGGGAAACAAAATAATAAAACTCCATTTTTCTTCTGATAAAATTTTTTTGTTGTTGTTTAAAGGGTCTATTTTCATCAACCACTGTTTCATCTGTGGCTGTTCGAAAATATTATTCTGCTCACATTGAAAAGCCAGGAGTACTCATCTCCCATTTGGGGAGACAACTTTGCAGTTCCAAAGTCTTGTTTGCTGAGTCCAGGTGGGTGGGAAGAATGGGATGTCAGGGGTGGGGGAGTGCCCCTTGGGACACGCACTTACCAGAATCCACGGCCTGGACCCGGACAGGGGAGTCACAGCAGATGGTGAAGCCGAAGCCGTCCTTGCCTCTCGGGATGGCGATCTAGAAGAGGGTCCTGCCTAGTGAGGCCCAGCAGCAAGGCCTGGCTGCCCCCAGGCCCTGCCCAGGGCACCCATTCATCCCAGCCTCTGCCCAGGCTCCTTCAGCATCTTAGGCGTCTGAAGCCTGGCTCGGCCGCGGAAGAGCAGGGGAGCTTGGGTAAACCTTAGAGGGCTTGAGAGGGCAAGTAAGAGCTTCATCCCGGCAGACCTGGCCTTTTCCAAAGGGCCCCCGTTTCCCCATACAGGGTTCCCACCTTGCCTGTGTCCACTGCCCACTCTGGCCCTTCCTTCTTTCACCCGGGGGCTCACGGCTCATTGGTCAGGGCTGGGAAGGTGGCATACAGGAGGCCTAGAGGCCCTGCCCGGTGGTGACAGGAGAGAGCAGGGTCCATGCACACTCAGGCCAAGGGACACGTGCAGTGGACAGGCTCCCAGATTGGGGTGTGGGGGGCACGGAAGGGCTGACCATGAAGCAGCCCCTGGCCCTGCTGTGCCTACCCAGGCCCAGACCTCTCCTTTTAGAAGCCCCCACCAAGAACCTGCCTCCCGAGGCTCTTGGCAAGAAGCACCACGTGTGCCCAGAGGTGGACTGCTGGCTCTTACGTGCAGGAGGTCTGGGCTGGATCCAGGGAACCACACGGTCCTCCCCCCACCCCGGGCCCCCAAGGAACACTAGGAACAACCCCCAAGCCACAAGCTGGGAGTAGCCGCTGAGAATGACCAGACCTGGCCCACCTCCCATCTTTTCCCCAAAATAAAGCATGCAGCCGCAGAGCGTCTCCTTGCAGGCCCTGCTCTGACTCCGTGGAGGTGCTAAGGCTTGAGATCTAATCTCAGCCCTTAGAGCTGCACCAGGCTGCCCTGGGTTGATCCAGTGCAAAGCCGGACCCGGCGTGCACCAGGGAAAGAAACGTGAGACCAGAGAGGGGAAAGGCACCTCCAGGGTGGGTGCCGGAGGGCAGGGCAGGAACCTGGGAGTGTGGAGCCAATGAGGGTGACGGGCAGTGGGCAGGGGGCAGCAACCTCAGGCAGGGTCATAGCATGGTGCCCTCAGCTCAGTGAAGCCCTGAAGTCCTCGGGCGGGGAGCAGGGGACCCGCCTGACCCTTGCAAATGTACTGCCTAGAGCAGGTGGATGTGAGGCTTCGTTGTGTATGTGGGGGAGGGTGGGGAGTGTTAGGGAGACATGGCCCAGGATAGACTGGAAAGAAACTCACTGAGCCAGCCTGGAAGGCCAAGGGCAGCCACGGCTACCTGGTCTCCTCTTGTTAAAGGCCACCTCGCTTTACAGGGCCAGTACCTGGCTTGGAGTCCACCTGCTTGTGGTCCCAAAGGTCAGCAGGCCTGAGGAAGGCGGGGTGGGGAGGTGGGCAGGCAGGTGCCGGGGACAGCCCCCCGAGGCTCCCCTCGCCACCAGCCCTGGGCCTGAATTCAAAGCTGAGTTTGTCAAACAGGAAACCTGACAGACAAGGGGAAGGGGGAGGGGGCAGGAAAATGCCCCGTTCCCATAAGAATTCTGGGAAAACACACGGCTAAGACAGGAAGAGAGAAAAAAAAAGGAAAGAAAGAAAAACAAACCGGGAGTGAGTACGGGAAGGCCAGGGGAGACGGCGGGAGATGGATTCCCCACGTGCCACCTTGCAAACCCCCGCTCCAGCCCAGCAGAAGCTGAGATTCCCCTGTTTCACCCCCCGCCGCCCCCCCCACACACACCCCGGCGCCCAGGCCCTCACCGCCTCCGGCCCCCCAGGGGTGCCAGCTCTGGACACAGGTCTCCAGTACCACTAGGAGGACCAAGTGCTGAGAATCTGGGGTTTGACCCGCACCCCGAATCAAACTGGAGTTGAAGGTGCAGCTGCCCGTAGAATATTTGCTCCCCTCATCCAGGCTGGACTTCCATGGGTACACGCCCTCCCTTTCCGGGGCACCAATCTCAGAACCCAGCCTGAGAGCCAGGCACCCACTGGGGCCTGGCAGGAAGGCAGAGGAGGGGTGTCAGGAGACAGGGGGCTGCCAGGGGGTCGTGGGTGGGCTCTGTCCTGAGGACCCTAGGAGTGTCCTTCCCTGGGGTGCTTCTGGATCTTTCCCGTGCCAAGCCCCCTCCTGCTGCCCTGTCTTCGTCTGACCCCCCTCCCCCCATCGGGACTCAGTGTTTTTTTTTGTTTTGTTTTTTTTAATCCCCCATCCCCTTCGTTTACCAGAAACACCTCTTCTGCATGCGGACCTGGCCTGCTGGGCACTTGGTCTCACCCCAACTCACAACACAGACCAGGCTGGGTCAGGGGTACACAGAGGCTCTGGGAGGAAAAGCGTCACTTTCAAGAAAGGGCCTGGGCCGGGTTGGCTCCAGATCTATCGGGGCCAGAGCCCAGAGCCCCTGGCTCGCTGGGCCAGAGCCCGGGGGGAACTGAGGCTCCTCCCATGTGCCAGGAAGGGTTCTAGGGAGGACTGTGGGGATCTCCCTGTCCATTGGGGGCCCGGCAGCTGGTCACTGAAGCTCACGGAGGGCTTGTTCTCTGCTTGGCACATCCAGGGCTTGCTCCCAGCCTGGGCACGCCCACGGCACCCTCCTTGACCCTCTGCCTTTCTTAGGGGGCAGGAGGTGACCACTCAGGCAGTGCTCAGGAGGTCCTGGGAGGGCCCACTGGAGAGTCTCCGCCAAATGGGCCGCTGGTTCAGCAAAAGAACCCTACGGGGCAGTGCTGCTGGGTCTCTGCAGTGCGGGGAATGCCCCTGCCAGCCGGCGGCACTGCACCCAGCCATGCTCAGGAACCAGGTGTTGCCAGGAATCGAACCCAGGTCCTGCTAGGCATGTTCCTTAACCGCCATCTACTCTCCCACCTGCCCAGCCTCTACTTCTTTTTATTTTTTTTTTTAAACCAAGAAATACCCACCACAGAGTTTCAGGAGCTAACGGACCACCACCCAGTGTGTCCCACAAGCTGGAGATGAACACCACCGGGGAAAGTGGGGGAGACCCCGGGACTCTCTCAAGGCACCCAGGCGGCTGTGTGTGGGGGGAAGTGCCCCCTGCCTCTCTTGCACCTGCGTGCACAGCCAATCCACGCAAACACAACTGCACAAACCAACGTGCACACGCATCACCGGGAGGACTCTGGTGCCTTCTCACGAGTGGGGAAGGTCCAGGGAAATACCAAGTCAGCGGCAAATACAGAGACAAATAGCCTGGCGGCTGGAGCCACCACTGCCTCCGCCGCCAGATGCAGATCGCCGGTTCTGCTGTTGTTATTGTTTGGTTTGGGGTCACACCCCATCCTGCTCAGGGGCAACACCCAGCTGGTGGAGCTCGGGGGACCACGCAGTGTTGGGGTTCAAACCCAGGGCTCCGGCATGCAGAGCATATATATATATTCAGCCCTGTGGGCTAACACTCTAGCCACCCCCACCCCCATCCCCGCCACCCCAGCTCCACCAAGTATTTTTGTTTTCTCTCCTTACTCCACACTCCCCCGTAAAGAAAACTCAGAAAATGAATCAGATGGACCCTCACCGAGACGGCCACTACCCGGCCATGGAAGGCAGAACCAGCCAGCGTGGACCGACCGCTCAGCCCCCAGCCCTTGCCCTCTCTCCCACTCCATGGGGAGCAAGAGGAGGCAAGGGAGGAGAGCCCCCACCCAGTCCCCTCACCCCCAGGCCCCCCCACCTACCCACCTGGCGGTAGCGGCGCTCCGCACACACCTTGCAGAGCCCATTGAAGCTGTTCATGGCTGCGGGTGCTGCCTCGCTCGCTGCCCCATGAAAACCCAGCTCTCCCCCGAGCCGCGGGGGCCGCACTGCGCCCCGCCAGCCTGGCATGACGGCCCTGGGAAGCGGCCCGCAGAAGAATAGCAGGAAACCACCTCTCACCTCCCCAGGCCTGTCTGTGCCGCGTGCCTCTGCCCGATAAGCCGAAGGCTTCCTGAAACCTCCGAGTGACAAGGAAGGGGGAGAGTTTTATATTAAAATTCCTGTCAACTCGTTAGTATTCCCTGAGCCCTGAGGGGAGAGGGCGCCTTTGTCCACCCCCCATCCCCCCACCCCCCTGCATTCTCCCGCCAGGGTCCCCTTTGTCATTCCAGTGTTCTCACCAACACTCCAGATTGGAGGGAACCCAGGCAGAAAACACACACACACACACACACACACACACACACACACACACACACACGGCTGTTCTGGAACAACACAACAGTCAGGCCCCATGCCTTGGGCGCCCAGCGACACTCTGACCCAGCTGAGAGAACCCTGGGGTGACCTGGCGGGGGCCCATTCCTGAAACAGCAAACATTTGGAGGGGCCTGAAAGATAGCACAGTGGGGAAGGCACTTGCACTCAGCAAACCTGGGTTCAATCCCTGGCACCAAAAGGGTTCCCCTTGAGCACTGCTGGGAGTAAGCTCTAAGTACTATTGGGTGTTTCCCAAATCTCTCTCTCTCTCACATACACACACACACACACACACACACACACACACACCCATCTCCCTATTTTGGGGGGTTGGGGGGGAGTCTGCCTGCCGTAAGGAAGCTACTTTCAAGTCAGTTTTCTGGGGCTGCAGAGACGACTCAAAGGGCTGGGGGAGCACTTTGCGAGAGGACGCCTGGCACTGCCTGGCACCAAGTCTGGCTGAGAGAGACCCTGAGCCCAGACTGAGAGTAGCCCCTGTTGGGTGTGGCCAAAAGAACAAGGCCCCAAACCGGAAGCCAGTGTCCTCATGCATTCAGGACTAAAGGAAGGTAAGTAAGAAAGGCCCCCCAGGAGAAGGGGCGATTGGGAGGACTCTGCCTCCTGGCGTCGCCCCTGAAACTGCTGGACTAACCCAAAGAGAAGTGGAGTGGACGGGCTGGACCACAGCCCCCATTCTATTCCCTGTCTGGCAAGCCCAACTTGCTGCAGGACCTACTTACCCCCTCTCCGGGAAGCCCACCCACCTACTGCCTCTCTTCTTGTGTCTTAGGGGACTCCTCTGTGATGCTGAGGGGTCACGAGAGAACCAGGGGTCGGACTTGGAGCCCTCCCCCACACATGGGGCACAAGCTTGGCTCTCGAACCCAGCTCCCTGCCTCCCACTTACCTTCTTATACATATATTTTTTGGTTTGGGAACCACACCCAGTGGTGTTGTTCAGGGATCACTCCTATGGGTGCCCAGGAGAACTTAAGGCGTGGGTGCCTGGGATTAAGCCTGAGTCAGCCATGTGCCAGGCAAGCGCCCAACTGACTGTACTATTGGTCTGACCCATTTCTTGATGCCAGAGTGTCCCTTGGTCTAGCCAGGACAGAGAATGGGCAGCCCCAGTTTCTGACTCTCCCAGTAGGGCAGAGCTGAAATGGGGATTGCCCCCTCTGCCCCAGCTGAGCCCCAATGCTTGCTCCCCACTTCTCTGGGTCCTGGGGAGCCCAGGAAGGACAGAGTTCCCTCAGAACAGCACCCCCGGGCCTCAGGAACCTCGCACACACTGTCTCTGAAGGCCTCAAGCTCCCGTTCAAGCAAGGACAATTCTCCAAACAGCGACTTCGCGCCAGTGCCTCCCAACGCAGTAGCGGCCAGTTTGGGTCCCGGCTGAGTTCACCCAGTGAGGGGAATGAGGTGCCCGGCCTCGCTGGCCACAGCTCCAGGGCTGGCCAATATGGTGCCTCTAATAGCCGGAGGCTGGACCTCTGGAGGGCAGGGACTGGCGGGTTCTGGATTCGATGTCCGCCTAGGGAGATGCTCCATTGGCCATGAATGAGGGGGTCGGCGGGGGGGGGGGGGGCGTGGAAAGGAGCAGAGAAAAACAGACGGGACATGTCTGCTGGGTTCAGGGACACGTCCAGGAAAGCCACGACTGGGGAAACATCCACAGGCCCGCCGTGCTTGGCTGAGGCCTCCCTCCACCCTGTGTGTCCCTCATCTGTATGCTGGGGACTCAGGACCACCTCCGAGGGGGCAGGAGCAGGGGAACCCCTGGTCTAGCTCTCCCTGTCTCCGCTGCAGGAGACAAACCTGGGCCCTGTCTGGCCCCGCACAGACCCGAGGAAACTGGGGGGCAGGTGTCCATAGTGCAGGGGCGCAAGGGGGACATCACAGCTCAGGCTCCTCCTGATGTCAGGCCTGGCAGGTTCACAGCAGGGGGACACGTGGCCACAGTGGTCTGGGAATCTCCAGCAACCCACAGTTAGTGAGATTCGGATCATCCCGTTTCCAGGGCCCAGAGCCCAGCTCTCTCTCTGTTTGTTGTTGTTGTTGTTTTGATTTTTTGCTTTTAGGGTTACACCCGGCGATGCTCAGGGGTTACTCCTGGCTCTGCACTCAGAAATTCCTCCTGGCGGTGCTCAGGGGACCATGTGGGATGCTGGGAACCGAACCTGGGCCAGCCATGTGCAAGGCAAACGCCTTCCCCGCTGTGCTATCGGTCCAGCTCCACCCAGCTCTCTCTTACCCCTGCCCCCTAGCCTGAGTGTCCCTAGAAAATAGCAAAAACTCACCCCTGAGAAATGCACCATTGGGGCCAGAGAGGTAGGACAGGGGCGAGACCCTGGCTGCGCATGTTGCCAACCTGGGCCCCATCTCCCCCACCACAGGTGCATCCCTGAATCCCTTAAGGGTGACCTGAGCACCCACGAGGGACAGCCCAGGGCACTTCCGGCCTGGCCCTGGTGGCCCCCAGCACCGCTAGGCCTGAGCAGCTCCACCCCCCCCCCCCCCCGCCCCCGGTCCCCCCAAGCACTGAAGCGCCAGGTTCAGGCACCAGAAGATGACCCTGTATCAGCTCCCAAATGCTGCCCTGAGTAGGGGTCCCTGAGGCCAGGAGTGGGCAGGGGGCTGGAGCAATGCTGGGGCCCGCCTGGCTGTCCCCACCTACCTGGATTCGCTCCCCATTCTCCACATCCTCACCTCCAGGTATTTGCAGGGGGGGACCTGCGAAGGGACAGAGCAGAGGCAAGATGCTTTTGCAACATCCGAGGTGGCCCAGAGGACCACAGGCCGTGGAAGCCAGGTCACCCCCAACCTGCGATGCGGGTGCCCAGGGCTCAGGCCTGGAGAGGGGGTAGCTCCTGTGCAGGGACAGGACACGCAGAGGCAGCGAGCCCCAGTCCGGGGCCTCGGGACACACGTGTTCCGCCTGCAGAGCACAGCAGCCAGGGGTCACAGGCAGACTGCAGGGAAGGGGCTGGGGGGATCCCACCGGGCCCAGCAGGAAGGTGTGGGAGCCATGCCCACCGCCCCCTCCCGGGAAGAGCAACCAGGGACAGCCGGGCCCAAGGCATGGAGGTGGGACCCAACCCAAGGTGACCTGCAGCCCAGCAGGGCTCAGGCACCATCCCGGGGCTGTGGAACAGTGATCACAGGGGCGATGCTCAGAGCAGGGGCCACATAGCTGGCAGGGCCGAGGCAGGGGGCACACACCTCCCCCGGGGGGCCGCAGTCGCCGCCGGGCCACCTTCAGGTGCTTGGTCCGACCCAGGTGCTGGCCGAGCAGGTAGTACCAGCCATTGATCTCCTGTGCCGAGACAAGGTGGACACACTCAGACCAAAGGGCCGGCACCAGCACCCCTTCCCCACAAAGGACAGCAGCTGAATGGCCTCTGCTACAGGCACACAGCAGAGTGTGCGAGGCACGGGAGGATGCTTCCGATTCCAGGAAGGCCCCGCCCCGGGATGCTCCCGTCTGGGCAGGTTCTCTTCTTCCTAAAGAACTGCCATCTCCCTGCAGGCTGCTCCTCCAGTGGCCTGTGCACGGAGCCCAACAGAGGGTAACAGAACAGCGGGGAGGGACGGGGGAGAGGGACGAAGAGAGGGACGGAGAGGTCAGAAAGGTGGCATGGGGCCACCCCAAGGTGCCACGCGGTCCCCTCCTGGGAGCACTCTTCCAGGTTCGAGGAAGCCCAGGTGACATGGGAGCCTCATGCAGGCTTGGGGCTGCTCCACCCCTTACTGCCCCAGACTTCACTTCCGGGACCTGGAGCCTGGAGCCAGATGGGCAAGTCCTGGGAACAGACCTGGGGGATGTCCCAGAAAGGACACCCAAGGGGAGCTCACGGCCCCCTAGCCAAAAGCCTCTGAGGGCAGGTGAGGTGCTGAGTAGAGCAGGGCACCACTGGACCTTCGGACGCTGGACTCTCTGTATCCCCACGACCCTGCCCAGCCTGCAGGAGGACTTGGACAATCCCTGGGCACCTGCTGAGCCGGAAACTGGGGCTGGTACACAGCAGCCTGGGCTGCCTCCTCCAGGCAGCCCAGGAAAGCTTCAAGTCAGTGTCCCCCATGGCAGATACCTAGAGTCGGGAGGGCATGGAGACCCTGACACTGCGATAGGGTGTCATACCAGCGCAGATCCCAGAAGGTCACGCCACTGGGCATGCATAGAGCAGTGCCTCAGGAGGGGCATGGTTTTGGCGGGGGGGGGGGGGGGGGGGACACCATTTGAGGGCAACACCATTTCAGAGGAGCACTGTTTCAGGGGGACATCATTTCTGGGGAACACTGTTTCAGGGGGACATCATTTCTGGGGGACACTTTCAGGAAGACACTTTTTCAGGAGGACATCACTTCAGGGGGACATCATTTCTGGGGAACACTGTTTCAGGGGGACACCACTTCTGGGGAGCACCATGTCACAGACCAAAGCCCCACATGGGAGCTGTCAGGCGAAGGACACCCCCTACCCCAGCCCTGCCTGAAGCTTCCAGGGACCCTACCTACCTTGTGTGAGGTGAGGAGTGACTTCACCCCGAAGCTCATGCAGCCAACGAGTCCAGTCCGTCTGGGGAACAGGAGGCCAAGAACAAGAGTGAGAGCTGTACTGCGTGGGGGCTCCGGGGGTGGGGGTGGCCAAGCCCTGCCCTCCGCTGCCCTTCATGCTTTTGAGCA